AATGTCGTATGGTCTTCCAAGGTTTATGCATCACTAAATTTGGGGTGCCACGTGATGGCCGGCGCGTCTTGGGTGGACGCGGTTTACCCGTTATCGCGCCCCTCCTACATCTTGCCCACAACTCAATATCTTGTTTAAATAACAGGGTTCTTGAATTTCTCGGCGCGTTGCTCCCTCAGGGAAGCCGCTGGCAAGATGGGAAAACTCATTCGTTTGGAGCTTTTCAGTATGTACGACCGGAAGATGCGCCGCAGGCAGTACCTAACTTTGTCACTAGACTTCAAGTCCTACAAGGGACATCATGTCCTCCTATTCGGAGATGCGTATTTTACGTCGATTATTGGCCCGAACGGGTCTGGCAAGTCAAACTCGTGAGTGCCTCCTGGTCTTAGCCCAAAGGGCCTTAGGCTAATGCGCATTAGGATGGATGCCATATCATTCGTTCTAGGAATCAAGTCTTCTCACCTGCGATCGACGAATCTCCGTGATCTCGTGTACCGTGGCCGTGTTTTGCGCACATCTAAAGTGGATGGAGAGCCTACTACTGATGAGCAGGATGGCGAGCAAGAGGAGCCGGAGAGCATGGATGTGTCCCAAGATGCTGGTGGAAACGACCCGAAGTCCGCTTGGGTGATGGCAGTCTATGAGGATGACGCAGGCGAGGAGCAGCAATGGCGCCGATCTATTACTAGCCAGGGTGTTAGCGAATACCGCATCAACAACCGAATCGTGTCCGCCCACCAATACAACGAGGCCTTGGAGGAGGAGAACATCCTGATCAAGGCGCGAAACTTCCTGGTGTTCCAGGGTGATGTCGAGGCGATCGCATCCCAGTCGCCCAAGGACCTTACTCGGTTAATTGAGCAGATCTCTGGCAGTTTGGAGCACAAGGCCGACTATGAAAAGTTCAAAGCAGAGGCGGAGGAGGCCGCGGAACAGCAAACCATCCAGCTCAATCGTCGACGAGGGATCAATTCTGAAGTCAAGCAATACCAGGAACAGAAGCGAGAGGCCGAGAACTATGCGAAAAAGGCCGACGAACGCGACCAGGCCATTATCACTCATATCCTGTGGAAGCTCTTTCACTTCCAGCGACTGATCGACGACTCCAGTGCGGATATCCAGAAATATCAAGATGAACTCAAGGAGTACCGCCGCGGCGTCGAAAAATATGAGAAGAACGTCGAAGACGCCAAGAAAGACCATGCTCGAGTCGGCAGAGATGTCGGCAAGGCCGAGAAAAACATCACGAAAAAAGAGAGGGAGATTGAAGAACTCAACAATTCGCTTGTGCCTGTGGACGAGAAGATCGACATCACTCAGAAGAAGGTTGAGAGATACTCTTCAAAGATTATCGAGATCGAAAAGGAGCGCACATCACAATCCAACAATGGCAAGCAACTAGAAAAAGATCTCAAGCTTGTCGAGAAAGCTCAGGCTCAGTGGGAAGTCGAATGGCAGAAGACGATGAGCAAGAAGGGTGGCCAGCTGAGCGAAGCCGATCAGCAGGAGTACCACAAACTCAGAGAAGAAGTCAACCGGCGTTCATCGGCGGACTCCTTGAACCTGGACAATCTGCGGCGACAAAGAAAGACCGAAGCTGAAGCAGTCAACAGCTTGAAGGGCAAGTTTGAGAACACTGAATGGCAACTCAAATCTGTTGAATCCGATGCCCAGAACATGACCGAACGCAAGTTGTCTCTCAATGACGTCGTCAAATCCACTTCTAAAGACATTGACCGCAAGAAGAAGGAGTTGAACGCATTGACTTCCGAGCGATTGAAGGTCTCGCAAATGCGGACCGAGCTAGAAGAAAAGCTTCAGGTGGTGTTAAGAAAACTTCTCGAGGCCGATGATGGTAAGAAGCAGACCGAACGCGAACTCCGGGCCAAGGAGTTGATCTCGGCCTTGAAGCGCATCTTCCCCGGTGTCAAAGGCCGTGTCAGTGATCTTTGCCGGCCGAAGCAGAAGAAATACTCCGATGCAGTCAGCACCGTACTGGGTCGACACTTCGACGCCATTGTTGTGGACAACGAGAAGACTGCCAAAGAGTGCATTCAGCACCTACGCGACCAACGAGCAGGCCAGGCGACATTCATCCCGCTAGAAACTATTCAAGTCAAGGCATTCAACTCCAATCTGAAGGGCATGCATCGGGGCATGCGCCCTGCGATTGAGACTGTTGACTACGATGATTCAGTTGCGCGAGCAATCAGCTACGCGTGTGGCAACTCTATTGTCTGTGACGATCTGGCGACGGCCAAGTATCTTTGCTACGAACGAAATGTGGACGCGAAGGCTGTCACCCTCGATGGCACTGTCATCCACAAGGGTGGTCTCATGACTGGTGGACGTGGTCCCCAGCAGAACTCCAAGCGCTGGGAAGATTCCGAGGTTGAGAACCTGTATAAATTAAAGGACAAGCTCATGAGTGATCTCACAACGCTCCCCAAGAGTCACCGCCGAGGCTCTGAAGAAGAGACACTCCAGGGTGAGCTCGTCGGTCTCGAGCAGCGTCTCACTTACTCCCGTGATGAGTTGAAGGCCCTTGAGAGGAACCTCGAGAGCAAACGTAGCGAGCTGGACTTCGTTAAGCGCCAGATGGAGGAACTGCGACCAAAATACACCGAGCGTAAGGAAAACCTTGACGAGCTAGATGAGACAATCGAAACGTCACAAGCTTCGGTTAGCACCGTTGAGGATGAGGTCTACCGCAAGTTCTGCAAGCGCTTAGGATATGATGATATCCGAGAATATGAGGCCCAGCAGGGCTCTATGCAGGAAGAGGCCGCGCAAAAGAAGCTTGAGTTCACCACCCAAAAGAGTCGAATCGAGAACCAGCTCAGCTTTGAGAAACAGCGTATTCAAGCGACCGAGGACCGAATCAACGGCCTCAAAGCCCAATACGAGCGCGACCAGACCCTGATTGAAGAGCTGCAAAGCCAGCAAGAGGAAATCCGCAACCAGCTCGATGAATTCGAAGCGGAACTTGAGCTCCTCCGAGAGGCACTCGAGAAGCAGAAGGAAATTTATGGCCAGTCAGCAGAAAACCTGGCAGAGCAGCGCCGTGAACTCCAAAAGCGTAGCAAGCACGTTGAAGCAGCGTTAAAGAACGTCAATGCACTTGAAGCAGAGATTCAGAGGAACTCTTCCAGTCGTTACGCTCTTCTGCGACGCTGCAAACTTGAAGACATTGATGTACCTTTGACCGAGTCTTCCAATTCGCTTGACAAGCTTCCAATTGATGACCTTGTGCAAGCAGCAGACCCAGATGCCATGGAGGTGGATGAAGGAGATGGTTTGGACGAGGCTCCTCCTGTGCACGATTATGGTATTGAGGTCGACTTCGATTCTCTAGGAGAGACTCTGAAAGAGGTAAGTTTTTGCTCCTGTCGCTTTATTTCTCACATACTGATTCAATTGTAGGAGGCCGATGACAAGCTCGAGGATGAACTGCTCGAAAAGGTCCGTGTTCTCAACAGCGACCTCGACAAGATGGCACCAAATGCGCGTGCCATGGAACGCTTGGAGAGTGTCGAGAACAAACTTCGCAGCACCGAAAAGGACTTCGAGGACGCCCGGAAGTCTGCACGGAAGGCCAAGGAAGAGTTTGAGTCCGTGATGAAGACGCGGTCCGACCTCTTTAATAAGGCATTCACCCACATCTCTGAGCAAATCGGGCCGATTTACCGTGAACTTACGCGCAGTGCCAATTATCCCCTGGGTGGTCAAGCGTAGGTTTCTTTTTTAACTAACTTCCGACCCTGAACGATCACTAACATTTCAATAGCTACCTCGATATTGAAGACTCGGACGAGCCCTACTTGGACGGCATCAAATACCACGCCATGCCTCCTCTCAAACGTTTCCGAGACATGGAGCATCTTTCAGGTGGCGAGAAGACCATGGCCGCCCTCGCTTTGCTGTTCGCTATCCACTCGTACCAGCCGTCGCCATTCTTCGTGCTGGACGAAGTTGACGCAGCCCTGGACAACACCAACGTCGCCCGCATTGCCAACTATATCCATGACCATGCCGCGCCTGGCATGCAGTTTATCGTGATTAGTCTAAAAACCGGACTGTTCCAGAACAGTGAGGCTCTGGTAGGTATCTACCGGGACCAGGTCGAGAACAGCAGCAAATCGTTGACGCTTGATGTGAGTTTTGACGATGTCTTTCGTATACGCCGATATGGAAATATACTGACAATGATCATTCACAGCTTCGGAAGTATACCTAAGTACTCCAGGTGGGATTTATGCGGATTGTGTGATAACCCTTTGCTTTTTCTTTGCTTGCTATTTCCTCATCTTTGTAGATTATTGAAACTACCCAGTGTATATTCTGGGCAATTATTTCTATCGACAAGGCTGTTAATTGATACCAGTTCCTGTACTGTGGTTTTCAAGTTGTTCTAACCCTTGTCCCACGTCGTAGCTGTGGGTAACCCTAAAAACCTCCGTTTCCGAACAACTCACATGTCGACTGTTCATACATTTGGTGATTTTGGATGATGCTTTAGAGCATCTCCCGAAAGTAGAATTTTTTTTTTAAAAAAAAATTCAATTTAGACCATCTTAATAGATGAGTTGAGCCAGCCATGTTAGAAACCCCCTAGAAAATGCACCACTTCATGGCAAAAGATAAAAGATATTAAGGCCTCGCGAAAAAAAAAGATAGCAAAGAACCGTCCACCTGTGAAACCACGAACCAACCGACTTCAGCTTCTTTTTGATGAAATTTTTGTGAAAAGCCAGCAGCCTGACTTCCACCATGCACAAGATTCGGCACTTGTTGAAAGTACCTACCGGTGTTGGATGAGACAAGTCGAAGTCTGGAAAGAAGAAACAAGAGTAACATAAGAAGCGCCGAAAACCGAGAACCGTGAAGTGTAAACCGTGAATCGAAAAGATTGTTCTGTGAGAGACTTGCGACCTATTGGAGGTACTACCATTAGCGAGAAGTACATAGTCACCGAGGCTCAATAAATCAGATACCTTCTAGTTTGTGCCTGTCTGTCCCACAACCTCAGTCACGTTCGCAGGCTTGATTTTCGGAGTGATCTTCATCCCAGAAACCCCCCTCGCTAGCAGAGTAGCCTTAGCTTGGGTAACAGTCTTGGCTTGGATAGCAGTCTTAATCCCCGCAGCAGGCTTAGCCTGAGTAGCAGTCTTGGCTTGAGTAGTACTCCTGATCCCCGCAGCAGCCTTAGCTAGAAGTGCAGCTTTGGCTTGAGAGGTGATCTTAGCCTGGGTTCCGTTAGCCTCGGTGGTACGCTTGGTCTGCGAGGTAGTAGTATCGGCCACGATTGCTGTCTTGGTCTGGATAGCGGCCTCATGCTCAGTGACAGGCTCAGCCTCGATGGGCGTCTTGTCCTCACTAGTGGGCTTCTTTTCCTTGCTAGCCTCAGTGGGAGGATCCTCAGAGGATGACTCCACGTACGCGCCAGAGGTAGGGACAGTCTCAAGAGTATCATCCAGGGAAACCTGCGACTCGGTTGCTATGTCAGTGGCAGAGTCATTCGGGGCCGGGTTGCCGTGTTCGCCTTCCTCGAGTGGCCGGGGGACCTGGTTAGGGATGCTGGTGAGAAGGTTGTTGATTGCATCAGCATTTCTGCGAATGTGGACTGCATGCTTTTTCTTGTCGGCAATCTTGAAGTCGCAGGGAACCAGACGGTCGTCGGGCTTTTGGTCGCGATGGTATTCGTAAAGTCGGACTTTGATGCCACGGATGAGGATGGCCCAGCATCGCTCACTGGGGAGCGGGGCACTGATCAAGCGAGGAACGGATTCATCCCAGTTGTCCTTGATTAAGCCAGTGGGGTCGAGAATAACCTTCACGATGGCGTGCAGGGACCTGTCTTCGCCAACGGCTCTCACAATGAAGCAGTTTGAGTGGTTGTTCTCCTCATCCTCTTGCCACTTGAGGATCCAGCCATCATTCGAATCGAAGGCGTAAGTGAGGAGACCGCTCACCATGATCTTTGCATTCTCAGCGCTTGGCTTAGTCTCGTATGCGGTGATGAACTCCGCAATTGCGGGAAGCGAGAGATAGTTTGCTATTGTCTCCATGATAGTGCGCGTGAGGGCAAAGAGATGGTGAGATAGAACTAATCAGTAAACTTGTAGAAGAGGAAGGTGACAAGGAGGAAATGACAGGAAAGAAGTCACGAGGCGTGGATGCTTTAAGCGCTGAAATTCGCAAATCAGATCAAGAGGCACCTAAGATCGAATTATGCGTGGGTTAGCAAACATATGTACTATGATAGTAGACTTCTACTATTTGCCTCAGATAGTGCCTGACGGAAAATCCCGATCCTGGCAAACATTTGCGCTTCTACATGCATAGAGCCATTGGGAAGTTTACGCTATAGTCACCTCGAGTAACGCGAAAGTGCGAGTTAGGTGAAAAAGTCGATATACTAAATGTATACATCTAGTCCAGATATATTGTTATATTGCTAAGTTTAATTTGGCCTAACCCTTTACCTCTACAACTCTGCCTTGAGTGACGCGAGAGTGCGGGATAGGTGAATAAAATGCCCGTATCATACATATATCAAGTCTAGGTTCATTTAGGAAAGATGTTAAAAGGGAGCGGGAGTGGAGTTGGTATCGAGCTTGCTCGTATCACTGTCAGAGCTGCGAAAGACGATGACAATTCTATCTGTTCCGTTTTGGTATTGTATATTGTATATATTCTCTACTTTGGTTATGGTCGGAATATTTCAAAGGTTTACATATAGTGAGTCCACAAAGAATCGGAGACAGAGCCGTTTCAAAAACACGATTTTAGCCTGATTTGGGATGATTGACAAGGTGTGATATTCAGGGTCTTTGCCTCTCAGGTTAAAGGGGACGCTAGGACGCTAGGACGCTAGGACCCTGGGACCCTATGACCCTGGGACCCTGGGACCCTGCACTCTGTTCGGCAGATGTCGATTCTTAAATACCGCATTACTTACCAAATCAGGAAAGTCACCCGGCTAGTTAACTACTGTAACAGACTAATAAAGTGGGGCTTTAAGGCCACGGGTTTAAAAAGTCTAGAAATGCGGAGCCATGTCTCCTTGTGGATTTTGAGTTGGACGCTAGTTCTATCTGAGTAAATGCTCCACCGAACCCTGAAATATCCGACTCCGAGATCTAAATTTGGTTTATTCAGTTTTGAATTAAACCAAATATGATTTCCTGTCCGGGTACTCTCGATTTGTAGGATTACTCGACTTCTGATATCGCATCTTTCCTAGAGGGCATTTGCGATGGCGTTGTATGCATACTTGGGGTTATAGTTCCCGTCGAAAAGCAATGGGCTCGAACTGGAGCGCCACGAATCCTAGCAAAATATACAGTATTAGTATATATACTCCATCAGGGGAGGAATATGCATTTACCGGGTCAGCAACTCCCCACACGGTGATCCCGACACACTTTGGCTGGTTTAGGCAAGCTTTGACAACCTATTAAAAAATTAAGATTTAGTAGGGAGTCAATAATACCAGTCATAGCATTGTGGGACTCACATTCACATAGTCGGTAGAGCTGGCGCCAGCAATATCAAGCTCAGTGATGGCGACCTCCTTCGTTCCTGCACTGGCTAGAGCGTTCAGAGCTGTGAGGGGTTGTTAGCTAATTTTCGGTCGATAAGAAGCAAGTGGGGACTTATCCTGAAACTCCAGCACCAGCACCGGCGTTTAAGTGGGTTTGGGAGCCTTGAAAGGAGTAAGCAATCATACACGGTGAGCTCAAATGACAGGTATCTTACCGATTCCGTCGATTGGGATACCGGCATCAATCCATTTCTTGACATGGCTAACCATGCCCCTCAGTTTAGGATAAGAGGCAGAATCCAGGCTATGTAAGGTTAGAATCCATGCAAAATGAAAAGAGCAGGGGGCTGCGACTCACTTGTAGTCGTTGATATAGAGCTTTGCATTTGGGTCTGTGGCACGAGCTGTTTCGAAAGCGATCCGCACAAAGTCTTCGCCGAGGACATTGTAGAAGACACTGTTACGAAGGGAACCATCCTCGTTGAAAATTTCGTTTACAACGTCCTTAGGTTGGTCAGTAACGCAGCTTTGTAGAACCTATGTTATTGATATAACGTACCCAGGCGTAGATTTTGCCCTTGTAGCGGTTCATCACCGTAGTAATATGCTTCTTCATAACGTTGGTCAGGGTTGTTTTGTCTGAGATAGAAGAGACCCAAGATGGGAGCTGGGAGTGCCACACTTGACGAGTTTAGCTTCTCTTGTTGTGAAATGCTTGAGTTCTAGAGTTTGAAGGACTTACCGAGAGTGTGACCTCGGATCAGCTTCTTGTTTGACTGGGCAAAGTTGACCTAGTATATGTAAGCACTAGGTAAAGAAGCAATTGCTATAGGAAAGGCCGGGTATATACCAGATAGTCAGACCCTGTGAAGGAGAACTGCCCTTGGCGTGCTATTTTTTCTCAAATCAGCTTCTGATACTCTAATTATCCCGGAATTGTTGTGCTTACGCTCAGTAGCATCCCACTTCATGCTGTTCTCCGGAGTCAGTTGGCCGAAGTCGGCCTTGATGATTGCCGGGGTCTTTGCATTCTCGTTCAATCTGTACTGATCACCAATGTTTCCCAGATATTTCTTCCCGTGGGCCTTGAACTTGGCATCAATGCTCACAGAGGCTTGTCGGGATTCAACGGGTCCGGAAAGCGCTTGGCCAGCAAAAAGCATAACCAGAGCAGCTGTCTTGATTTGAATCATATTGGGAAACATGCTGGTTCTTCAAGTCGATAAATGGAAATGAGACTGGTAGAGAACATCGTCCGGGAGGATTGAGAAGATACTTATACAGGACAGGAACCCACATAACCCACATCTCTTCGGGAGAAGTTGACAGTTGAAACGTTAGCTCAAGGGGAAATCCTTTCCCTATGCAAAACGGGGCTTCATCCTCTATTTTCTTCACTAATGAGGAATGACATTTGTATTTTATCCAAGCTTCTAGTAAATAACTGTACATAATTCGAATGAGATAATATTCGATCGTTATTTTTAGCCTAAATGTTCTTAGAAAAGACTTCGGTCTGGACAATACGTACTTTGAATGAATACTATGAAACCACCAATCTTCAGTTGTCCTTTCAGGTATATAGGCCCCTTGCAAGTTCTAGCCTTGACATGGAACGAAAGGACCCACAAATCTTGGCTTTTGCTTAACGGTAGAATGCCCCGTTCAGTTGAAACAAAGAGGGGATCTTCAGGGGTGGAGATGATATCTACCCGATGTACTTCGTCCGTTGAAGGCTGACCAAAATAGCTAGCTCCTAATTCGCTAAGGGCTTCCTTGTTCAGCTATTTTTCAACCCCCCCTGCCAAATCCCGCTTGGAGGTGAGGTGCCTCGGGGGATTACATCTGACGTTCTTCAGCTTTCAGCAAGGCGCAACGTACGCTGAGAAGGTATAACCACCAAGAAGGAGTTTCTTGAAACTAGTTTTCGATAGTGAAACAGCCATATGATGATAATGTAACAGTAAAAGCTCAATCCCGCTTGGAGGTTCCTCGGGGAATTACATTTGACGTTCTTCAGCTTTCAGCAAGGCGCAACGTACGCTGAGAAGGTATAACTACCAAGAAGGAGTTTCTTGAAACTAGTGTTCGATAGTGAAACAGCCATATGATGATAATGTAACAGTAAAAGCTCAATCCCGCTTGGAGGTTCCTCGGGGAATTACATCTGACGTTCTTCAGCTTTCAGCAAGGCGCAACGTACGCTGAGAAGGTATAACCACCAAGAAGGAGTTTCTTGAAACTAGTGTTCGATAGTGAAACAGCCGTATGATGATAATGCAACAGTAAAAAGTCAATCCGCCTAGCGTCGCCATCAAGACCCACGGCTAAACTCATGATCTCTTCTATGCATACCGAAACTCAGCCTGAACATAGGCTTGGAATGGTTACTTCGATGTGGAGTTCAAGCTCGCAACTATTTCTAAAGGGGGAATACTCCGGTGGACTGATGTCTCTGGCTGATGTAGTCTAATTTTGGATAATCTCTAAAACACACCAACGGTCAGTCATTTCCAAAAGGAATTAGCTCAATTCATTTACCCAGGTCGAACTTTTCAATTTATAAGCCATCCTTGGAGTATTTAAACAAGGTCGGTTCCTGCCTAGGTGGTTTTTATATGTGCTTCAAGTCTTCAATCAAATAAACCACCACCATACACTAGGTTCTCAACAACAATGCGATTCTCCAAGGAAAAAGCTGGCCTGGTGTCATCTGGCATGTTGTTGCTCGCATCAGTACCAGCTGCCTTCGCCGGCTGCGCGCTTCCATCATCTTATAGTTGGACATCAACTAACGCTCTGGCGAATCCAAAGTCCGGATGGACCGCAGTCAAGGATTTCACCAACGTGGTTTTTAACAATAAGCACGTCGTATATGCATCAACCACCGACGCAAGTGGGAAATACGGCTCGATGGGCTTCGGCGCCTTTTCGGATTGGTCTGGCATGGCAACCGCGAGTCAAGTCGCAACGAGCTTTAACGCTGTTGCGCCCACTTTGTTCTACTTTCAGCCAAAGAACATTTGGGTCCTAGCCTACCAATGGGGCTCGAGCACGTTTACCTACCGGACATCAAGGGATCCTACCAATGTCAATGGATGGTCATCGGAGCAAGCCCTCTTTTCCGGGAAGGTCACCGGCACGGATACCGGCGCCATTGATCAGACCGTTATCGGTGACTCTACGCATATGTACCTTTTCTTTGCGGGGGACAATGGCAAGATCTACCGCACCAGCATGCCGATCGGCAATTTCCCTGGAAACTTCGGAACAAATTCCGAAGTGGTACTGAGTGGCGCTAGGAACGACTTATTCGAAGCAGTTCAAGTGTACACCGTCAAGGGCCAGAACAAGTACCTTATGATCGTCGAAGCAATTGGATCACAAGGGCAGCGGTATTTCCGTTCATTCGTCTCCAACAGTCTCGGCGGTTCGTGGGAACCGCAGGCAGCAAGCGAGAGCAAGCCGTTTGCCGGAAAAGCCAATAGCGGTGCAACCTGGACCAACGACATCAGTCATGGCGATTTGGTTCGTACCAACCCTGACCAAACAATGACTATCGATCCATGCAACCTGCAATTCCTCTACCAGGGACGAGACCCGACCGCCGGTGGCAACTACAATTCCCTGCCGTGGAAGCCTGCCGTGCTCACTCTGAAACACTAAAGGGGGTTAGGGGGTTGTGTATTTTGGAATTGGAGAGTTGTGAGAGGACTGTACGCGATCGATATCATGAGACGAGATTGCTCATGCGGTGGATTAAGATAGAGTACTCTGGGTCTGTTAGTTATATTACTATTTACTAGCAAATTCAAATCTAAGTGCGGAGTAGAATCTCTTCTATCCATTGCACAGCACCTGTTGAAAGAACGAATTGTCCAGTTGACCGAGGTACCCTAAGGTGAAAAGAAGATAAAAGCCAAGCTTTGCCCAGCCTTCTGATATATATTATCGTTCCCACAGATCTATTTCTTCAACTAACACCCCCCCCCCCCCACCCCCCACACAAAAAAAGCCATGGCTAGTGAAATACATTTAAGCAGACGATGATCTGAAAAGCTGACTTCGGTTACAAAGAGCATATCTGCCGCGTCCACAATCGAACTTTCAGGAACAAGTGCCATCAGACGTTGGGAAGAATGGATGAAGTTTTTAGATGGACCTTTCATGGTCGTAGACATGATATTATACGCATGACCTTCAAGCTTCTTATAGTCTAAGGCATTTTTTGTTTGGGCCTACTACAATCCAAAAGATGGAACTGCGAAGGGAAAAGAGGGCAGAAAAACTATGAATTGAGCTATGCTACTAAAGGGAGATGGAGAGCAAACATCCTAAATCTCAAAAGGTGAAAGTGTCAACAGGATCTGCACGTCCTCTGTTGAGCTTCGCTCCTTCTCTGACCTGGCAGGTTCATAGAGTGACCAGGTTCTCAAAACTCCGACCGAAAAAATTTCAAAGTTTGGTGGACCAATTCGATGATCTCCAAGGCGTGAGATCCCGGATCGGAGTCAATTGTTTTATACGTAAGTACAGAGCTGCAGGAACTGCTTTTACTAATATCTGCACAGAGACCTGCTCTGTATGATCTAGGTCCGTAGAAGTCAATCATTGGAACGGTGTGCCCGACACAAATTCCACTGAAGCTATGAATGAAATCCTTGTCATGACCCTTGCCTGAAAAGCTTACAAAGACAGAACAGTGGCTTATTGGGAAATGAGAAACCAACTGACTCGTTCAAACTGTTTGTGCCCTGTGAATTAGATAGAGAGCGGCTAATCGACCAAGTGGCTATCAATGGAACGAGCAGTCAAGCGCCAGGTAGAGCCGAGTTCTCTGCTATGGCGACGGATGCTAAATATAACCTCATCGCATAACTGTGAATCTTACCAATAACTCGGACCCCCAGATACGGCAGGACCGTCCACCAAGGGCACATGCACAAGGACGCGGACTACCGTGAATCAAGGCAACCCGTTCGACTGGATACGAACACAGTCGGAGCTGAGGTCCTACCGCCCGTACTATTGTGATTCCCCAGCTGCTACGGTACTAAGCAGTGACCAAAAATGCGACGAGATCCAGCTCGAGAATCTACCTCTGGCAGAAGAAAAATAGGCTGGCCCGGATTCCTGTGATAAGTTTGCAACAGTACAACGACAAAGACGAGGGCTTGGGATGGAGTTCAGACTTGACCGTGCGATCAAAAGGCTTAAAATTGAGCTTTCTTGGTCAATTAAGGTGACACGGGAACGGATCTGTTCCCGACTCTGGGTCCGTGTCTATGGGTCCAAAGGTATTTGGAAAGCTTAAGGAATCAATTCGGACCCACTGGTATATGGGGTTAAAGACAGTTCCCGACTGATAGTGTACTGTAATTCTTTATACATCCAGAGCTACTGTGACTGGTCAGTGTGCCTGACCCCGACTTTCTATATTCGCATTGCATCTGGACAGACAGCCCTTTATCTATAATCCGGGGTCGAATGAGTTCTAGGCTCCCCCTTGGCAGCCCCCGAGGTGGCAATGTTTGATATAGCGCTTTACAAGTACAAGCATAATGGCCGAGGAAAGCGAGAGCGACGGAATCAGTAACCACTGAGAATAAACCCAAGCTTCGACGGAGTCCTTAGCCAATTGTTCTAATTTCCTTTCTGGCAACCCGACGCCAAGTACGGTGAGAGGAACGACGGAGTCATCAGGTGCCGTCTACTTGGGTATAGTCACCGCCACCATCCAAGTAACTGTAACCCCAACGAACATTGCAAATCATGCCCAGCATCAACCCCCCGGACACCACGGAGGCGACCCGAGGCCAAATTTCCAATAATGCAGGTTTCCTGCACACTTTCCCGGTACCAGGATTTAACCATCTGCACGCAGCTAGCAATGGTAACGGAATGTCAACAGGCGGGAGCCCCGGGACCACCACCCGCCGAGACGCACATATTCATATATGCTGAATAACATTCCGCGGTGTAGATACACTTTGTACATCAGGAACACGGGATATTTTGTTACCGAGGATTAAAAATAAAAAAGCAGTACTTCCAAATATGGCCCCCTTCAAAGTGTTGTGCAACGGTAGCGGTACATACAGGAGCAGCTCGCGCCCACGGGCAGATGGTGATCTATTCATGCGCATAATACGGCCATGATAAGGGGAGATATTCTTCCTAAAATGTACTCCCTACAGAATAAAGAGTACAATAATAGAATTGATCGTAATATTGTACTCCGTATGTATTCCGCTGTTGATCATTTCATCTCTTGGGTGTTGCGGCCCGCACATATACGCAAGGGACACGTCTTTCCACGCCACTTGCTAAGGGGGGCTTTGTGGTGTATTCTCTTGTGGGGATTGTGCACCCTTGGGTATTACAGAGTTTGGGGCCAATGCGGCTCAGGGGGTGTATATTTTTGCTTTGCTGCTTGGCGTCTAGGTGCAATGTAATTCGTACCTAGGCCCGTGTTACTGATGGCGTGGAATTAGTATTGTTTTACTATTATTATTATTATTATTATTATTATTTTCTTGCTTTGGTCGATGATAATAAGGCTGCGTGGCAAAGAACATCGGCCATGGACCAATCCAATATATTCCAACCCTCAAACCGTAGGATATATAGGTCAAAGGGCATCGGGCAGATTGGTAAAACGTATACAAGGCCGATACTTGCTGGGACCCTATCTTCAACTGTAGTCAAGTGCTGACTTTTCTCAAGATCGAAAACCTCGATATCTCTCATTGCAATATAAAGTGAAATTGCCAGTACCGTTATGTTGCACGACAGGAATATGCGGCCCGCAGGGTCATCGAATAGCATCAAATAATGTGGTACGGTTACATTTTCCGTATGTGTTGACCCAGTCCAAATGGCCAGTCCAGATAGCAATGATACCAGCCCCTCAGAAAAAGCAAATAAAACAAGGCCAAAGAGACGGCGGAAAAATAATAATGATAATACACAACGGCACTCCCTCATAACATTGGGCCTCGCTACAGCTGCAATCCGCTGCTGCCGCAGGCCGAGATCCTGGTGGCGCTACATAGGTAGCTAATCATGACCATTTTCAATGGTTGGCTATGCTGTATACCACAGGGCCGAGAAAAAGAAACAATACCTACTTCGTTAAGGCCATAGGGAATAATGGAGCGGTTGATCAAATTCGTAATGATCGGCTTCTTGGTCTGCCATCCGTGGCCCCCCGCTCCCATTAGACACTGTCGATCCGGGGGCAGGGAACCGATCCCAATGGTAGTTGAAATTCAGTTAACCTTGGGGCTCCTCTTCTTTATGGATACAGACAGTAGATGTCCTTCGGGTTCGAAGAATGCGTTGACTCTAGCTCCGGGTTGCCACGTCCGCTCATGCACGATGCCGCAGGGAAGCAGAATTTGGAATCACCAACTTGAAGAACCCATGCTAGTGGCAATTCGATACATACCTCGAGTTGGTGCATTTACACCATGCTGAAAGGAAAAAGTGAAAAAAAGAAAAGAAAAAAGAATGAAGTGACCGCGAGCGAGACCAAGAAGCCAAAACAAAAAGGAAACAATGAAGATTGACCAGGATAATGCCTAGGATAATGCTTTCGTACGCCCGGAATCACAAACCAACTTCCGCGAACCTGAAAATAAGCTCAAGATTCGATGGTCGCGTCTACGGCTTTGATCCCCGGGGACCTCAGCTTTTCGAACCAGACAGACGGAAAGGATTTATCTCCAGGTCTTCAGACCGGCGTAGATTAGGTTGGAGAAGGGCCGCACGGACAATGGTACTTGGACCTAGCGCCCGGTGGAGATAAAGATTGTAGTACTCCGTACTTGGAAGCCTAACATTACTCTCTTACACACAAATTCCCGAGGAAAAAAAGAAAGTAAAAAAAAATGCAGTAAAGAAAAACATTGAGCTGTGGGCGCAGCTGCGCGTACGATGTAGTTGAAAAAGCCCACTACGCTGACGCACTGGCAACGCAAGTAAGTATCCATACGGAGGAGATCCATAGGAAGTTGGAGAGATTCAACTAGACCGTGCATTAGTCAGTGGTTTATTAGCCTCTCTTGGCTTGCAGGTGATGATCTCAGAGGCGTCGAGGATGACCGCTCTTCTTCTTTATCACCTGTCGTGGCTGATGTGGTCTAGGGATCGCCGATCGGGTGATGCGATTGGATAGAGAAAAGGTCCCACCTTGGGCTTATTGGACCGCCCCTCAATTAGATACAGCTTGCGACTGGTATGTCTACCATTTTTTGATGGATTAGAAGATTAGAGGGTAAACTTGGTGTATTGGAGCGGGCAATATATTTATGGGTACAACAACGGCTTGCTGCAGAAAGCCTACGAGTTATGCAGATAGCGGAGCAAGTGTTGGATGGATTTGTATCCATTTTGATAAATTTGGACAGATTGGAACTTTTGATTTGTGAATTGACGATCTTTGTGGCTGTTTCTCTGAGCGTTGGAAGTTGAGACGTTCCAAGGTTCAGCCGATCACGGATCCCCCGACGGAACCATGGATCGAACAAGGTTAATGTGACACTCATCCATTGATCACAGCCCTAAGCGTCAATGCGCAGAACGGACTCGACCCATCGACTACACATTTCAAAGGGGCAGAAGTCGATGGTCCAATCACAGGATGCAGAAAGAAGTGATACGGAAGCTTTCGTATTGCCACACGCTCGACTTTGCAGCTATTCATTTTTCCTTGCATTAGCACTAAAACCGATTCGCACTTTCAGGGGAGATGTCATGTGGAGAAATATGCCAATCCTCGGGGTCTGGCGTCGGACGGCGGGATTGGGAGATCATGGACATGGTCCCGTATTGTTACTCTGTGGTATATTTACCTCGCCTGGACCCTGCCCCTAATCGAATGTCCCCGGATTTCTTATCCATCGGCAGCCTGCGTTGACTCTTCCTTCTATTAAATTGACACCCCGGGTCGATTGTCGAGAGACCCAGGTTTATCCTGTATTTCAGAAGTTGTATTTGCAAGTTACTACGTTTTAACAAGCGCAGTGAGCCCTGATCTTGTGAATTCAATTTTCATACCCCCATACCATCTCACAATATGGATATGAATCGTGGATATCCATTTCCTGGAGAGGTGCAGGGGCGAAGACACTCCGATACGTGCATCCCGCCGCAACCGCCGATGAACATGGTAATAGAATTTCCAGATTGCAAAACAAAAGGCAACAAGTATCAAGTTTGGCTAATAATTGAATAGCCGATCACCCCTAAACAACCTCATACCGCCGAATACTCACACCCACACTTCGCCATGATATACCTTGACCACAACGGTCAATGGCAACTACAAGCCTCGCCCTCAATTGCCGGCTGCGAAGGCGCCATCTTCACACCAGATGTTACAGACCGATTCATCGAAATGACTGGCCAGACCCCACAGACAAGTCCGCAGTTCACAAGTGAGCCAGGTTTCTAGAATCCAAAGTTTCAGAGCGGCAACACTGACTTTTTTCCCCCTTCTCCTTGCAGACCCAGCCCAAGCACCCCACTCGCCTTGGGACGAGCAACCACCTTCTGGATGGGGGCCAACTGGTCAGACGAGACAGGCTGAGATGATCCCATTCCAGTGGTCCTCACAACAAAGCCGAAAAAAGTCGAAGCGTGCCAACGGCTTGCCCAGGTCTCGACCTAAATCTAGCTCGCCGCCGCCTATCACACCCCCACCTGGACGGACTGTTCTTCGTGTCGGCAACCGGGCACTGCTGCGACGGTACTACGAGAAGGCATTCGAGGATTTCCAGCAGCTCAACTGCCGCGCTATTGCAAAGTCCTATATCAAGCTTGTGGAGCCGAGGAAGCAGGTCCATTACCCATACAATGGACGCAGGGTTATTGCCGGTGTCTCACAGCGTGTTGACCCGGAGTTCACCAAGCCTGCATGGTGGCCCGCTGGTGTTTTACATAAAGAGCCTGATCATCTGCTCAAGCCTGGTAGGCATATTCTTTTAGTATCAGTGGTATGAGAATATGGGTCAATACTAACTGACGATAGACCGACTGCGACTTCTTGTTCATATCCTCTGTGAACTAAAAGATAGCCACGGGGTCACAACAGACAAACTGCGAGACGCTGGCCAAGACGTGAGACGCCAGATTACCCCTGCCAACCGGCTGCAGGTTCTAGACGAGATCTACTTTGTGCGACAAATGGAAGAACAGTACCTGGATGGTGAAATCGGTACGTGTCACCCTATCCCAACACAAGACCCAAGCAGCAGTTCCACTAACCCTCTCTGTGCTTTTGTCATTACAGACGCCAGTACCTTGATTCAGGTAACACAAACACATCTACCAGAAGCAATCTTCCAAGATGGCGATGAACTATCATCCCGTGCACATGCAGCACCAGTAACAGCGTCTATGATTGAGACCGAACATGACATGCAGGATGCAGGTGATAACCCCAGCATTTCTACGCTAGAAGAAGAAGACTCAAAGCTACACCACTCGCATAATCTGCCTCTCTCACCCACCACTAGCGAGTCAAGCGGTCCACACAGCCCGACAGGCAGCTTCGGCTACCCAATGGGTATAGCACCATCAGTGCATGTAATCCCCCCTCTTGAGTCCCCAAATGTCACAAAATCTATGCATCCAGACCCGAGTTACCTGTCTGGGTACTACTCGCAACCGTTTGTGTCTGATAAAGGGCCCGGGTTCTGGTCACATCCCAACCCTTCATCGCAGTTTGGATATTAGCATTGTTCTGTTCCCTTCCCTCTCTTGTTTTCACCAGTACATACCTGGAGTTTGTGAGCGTTTGGCTGGACATGGATATGGGGTTTCACTGGCTGCTTTTTCTTATAATTATGTTTTCTTTTCTTACTTGGGATGGTTTGTCACCTCGCTTTCATATACGAGAAGCTAGGCAGAATTTGTAATAAATGAATGGGACAACTCAAATATGGCCAACACTATATTAGAACAGTTCAAGTACAACAGGAACTATAAAGTTCACTGCCTCAGGCGACAACTTCACACCTGGGCCAATACAGCTCGCTGATTGGGTCCGCATGACGATCCCCCAGCGCCGCTCTCCGTCCAACCAACACTCACAACACAGGCACACGTCAACTTCTCAACTTCTCGCTGGTTCTCGTCCAAGTATCTCCCTAACCTTTGTGACTGCATCAAAGCAGCAGCAGCAGTTCTGTATCGCCGTTTTCGTGTCATGCGCCAGTGAGTCCGGAGTTATTGACCCTGTGGATCGCCAACCACAGTTCGCCATCATCGCCCACTGAGTCTAGCAAACGCGTGATCTACTGATAAGGTAAGATTGCCGTCGTCTTTTTAATTGCCCCTCATGTCTACATAATGGCTGTGATTTTGGAGCCCTCGCGCCTGTCTGGCACATCTCATACTAAGCTGTGCTCTTTGGGCTTGCAACTATGGGGATGCTAACATTCAACCGTTTCCTTAGTCGACCATATCCCAATACCCGGGACGGACCGACAATACTCTTCTTCCAGCAACAGTTTTTGATAGAGAGCACCAGTTCAAGAAGGAAGTCTGATCCCACCATGTCAGCCGAGCCGCTGGTCTCCACGCCAGGCCTGGACGAGATCAATGTGCCCTTCCCTTCCGACGACTTGACCGACAACGATGAATTTGGCTCTCCTCCCACATCCCCAGGAAGTCTGTCGCGAAACGGCTCCTTCTCAAACAGCAGCTCGTACCAGGAGGACTGGGAGTCATTTCCACCTCTGGACAAGCTGACTGTTTTCGACCTACTCGACAACATCCAGCTCTCACAGCGCCTGGAGAAATGGCAGCAGACCATCGCCATGCAAAGGGAGAAGGTGCGCAAGCAGCGGGAGAAGCTCAAGTCGTCTTCCTTGAATGCCAAGGATCGTGTTGTGGGTGAATGGAAGCGCCGGGCACCGACCGCTGATGAGAAGCTGGAAAAATATCGTTCTCGGATGAAGCAGGGTGTGGAGCGCCTGGGAAAGCAGTGGAACAAGACGGCAACTGTTACCCTCCGGGAGAAAATGTCTTTTATTGCCGGTGTGCTCAATATCTTCATCAGCGGCTACCTGATCGGTGCTTGCCCAGAGTACTTTTACATCTGGTTTAGCGCTCAGCTGGCATATTTCATGCCCATCCGCTACTTCACGTACCATGCTAAGGGCTACCACTACTTCTTGGCCGATCTCTGCTACTTTGTCAATTTGCTCTGCATGCTGAGTATTTGGGTCTTCCCCAACTCGAAACGGCTTTTTATTAGCACCTTCTGCTTGACATTCGGGAACAATGCGGCTGCAATCGCCATGTGGCGCAACTCTATGGTCTTCCACAGTATGGACAAGGTTGTCAGGTACGTTAGATATCGAAAGGTACAAAGTTCGTTCGCTCATGTCTCTACAGTCTCTTCATCCATATTATGCCACCCGTAACTTTGCACTGCATCATACACCTGACTCCGGTTGAGAAGCTGAAGGAACGCTTCCCTGCTGTCTACAACATCAAGTATAGTCAGCCCGGGGACCCAGAGCACTATGGTCTTGGTGCCATGGTACTCTGGTCCACGGCTCCCTATGTGGTATGGCAGCTCATGTACCACTTCCTGATTACCGTGCGCCGTCGCGACAAGATCGCAGCGGGTCGCCCGACCAGTTTCACATGGCTGCGCAAGTCATACTCTAAGGCGTGGATTGGGCGATTTGTGCTTAGCCTACCCGAAGCGCTGCAAGAGCCATGCTTCATGTTCATCCAGTATGGGTTCGCTTTGTCCACAATGATCCCCTGTCCCATCTGGTTCTGGTCCAAATGGGCCAGCGGTCTGTTCATGTCTGCGCTATTTGTCTGGAGCATCCACAATGGAGCAACTTACTACATCGACGTCTTTGGAAAGCGCTTCCAGAAGGAGCTGGAGCAGCTCAAGACAGATGTGGCACGCTGGCAGAGCTCCCCCGAAGGAACAACTAGTCCTTTGCTTGCCGCTGAGCCCAGTCCTCTCAGTGAAGCCATCAATGCACACAGCGAGGAGAAGCGATCCAGCGTCGATCGAATCCCCTTGTTGGATACCGCCGAGGTCTCTTCTACCGATATCCCGCAGGAAAGTTTAAACAAGGTCTCTCTCGTTAGAGAGCGAATTTGAACCTCAAGGGACATAATATTTTGTTGCCATCATTTATGCCAGTCCTTATATACCCTCGTTTTGTTGGATTCTTTTTTGTCAAGATTCAAGAATCTTGAAATTACTGAGCGAGTTTTCTTTTTAGTCATATAAATGTACAAAATTGGGCTATCCAGATTGATCTGAACATTTTGAATTATATTTGCACAATGAAATTACTTTTGTACTTTAACTCTTTGTACATGCCTTCGGCCCGTTCTAGAACTTGTCCGGATATCTGTTTAACCCCGAGCAAAACCCGAGGCGGTATCGGCTGTCACGTGCAAGATGACTGCGGCCGTACATCACAACATCTCATCGGATCCGGTTCCAGGACATTCCAAACTTTCATGATCATCAACTTATTACTGTGATTTATTTTTCATCTCGTGGACATTAGGCTTAATCATTTATTTCATTGTTGTTGCACCTACAGACCCTTTACTCGTTGCTTCGAGCACTTCACTTTTTTTTAACCCAACGTTTCCCGCAAATGTCCGCCACAATGAGATCGACCGGATTGGTCCGCGGAACACCTGCTTTCCGGTCTGCGCTGATCGGTAAGTGTTGAAGAACATCGAGAAACTCGATATTAATGGCAGTTGCTGATATTTTCCGGCAGCCCGTGGTCGTTCTAGTGCACTGAGCCCGGCCTCCATTGCAGCCCGCAGCCTTCTACAAAATGGCCGCGATCTGCCATCCCAAATCTCGGCGCTTGCCATTCTGATGCCCCAGCGTGGATATGCGACCGAGCAATCCACATCGAACAACTCTTCTCAAAACTATCCTCCCCCCGGGTTCAATGCCGAGCAAGCCAAGAAGCCGCTCTCCCAAGAACAGACCACGCAGGCACAATCTACCGTTGCGCAGACCCAGCCCGCCGAGACAAGGTCAGCTGTTAGCAAGCCACCGTCCGCTGGAGCTGCCGCAAAGACGAACCCAGAGGATCAGAAGTTGGCCGAGAAGAAGAGCGCGAAGAAGTTGACACTTGGACAAAAGGTCAAGAAAGAGTTGCAGCACTACTGGGATGGCACAAAGTTGCTTTCCACTGAGGTCAAGATTAGTTCGAGACTGGCGTTGAAGATGGCCGGTGGTTATGAACTCAGTCGCCGAGAGCACCGCCAGGTATGCTTTGCGCCACCAGGAATATTTCGATATTTTGTACTGTTTAGCTAACCTAACCTTTGCTCATAGCTCCAACGTACTACAAAGGATCTAGGACGCCTGGTTCCATTTTCGATGTTCCTCATCGTTCCCTTTGCTGAACTCCTGCTCCCCGTCGCCCTAAAGATCTTCCCCAACATGCTCCCCAGTACCTACGAGGGGCAGAAAGCCCGCGATGCCAAAGCGTTGAACCTCAGATCAACCCGCAAAGAGGTTTCTGGATTCTTGCGCAACACCATACGGGAGACTGGTTTGCCCTTGACCGCCGCCACTGTCAAGAACGACGAATTCACGGACTTCTTCCGCAAGATCCGCACTACCGGTGAATCGCCCTCAACAGAGGATGTCATCAAGGTTTGCAAGATCTTCAAGGATGACCTGACCCTTGACAACCTGTCTCGGCCCCAGTTGGTCGGCATTTGCCGCTACATGAACCTGAACTCCTTTGGTACCGACGCCATGCTCCGGTACACTATCCGGCACCGCATGCGCCAGATCAAGCGTGATGACCGCGCGATCTTCTACGAGGGCGTTGATTCGCTCTCCGTCCCCGAACTGCAGATGGCCAGCGCCTCGCGTGGAATCCGCACACACGGCGTCTCCCCCGCGCGCCTGCGCGAGGATCTCGGCATGTGGCTCGAGCTGCGTCTCAAGCAGGGTGTTCCCTCAACTTTGTTGGTTTTGAGCAATGCCTACCTGTACACGCAGGGTGGCAAGGAGTCCGAGTTTGCGTCGCAAATCGACGCGCTCAAGTCTGTGCTCTCCAGCATTCCCGAGGAATTGTTCCACGAGATCGAGCTCGAGGTCCACAATGCCGAGGGTGCTGCTACCAACAAGCAGCGTCTTGAGGTAATCAAGGAGCAGGAGGAGCTGATCGAAGAGGAGAACGAGCAGAACAGCGAGAATGAGAGCACGGGTGTTTCGGCGCCTAAGGATATCGAGGATATCGATGAGAAGGAGGAGGCCAAGGTTGAGGCTCTCGCTGATGGCGCTAAGCAGTCTGCTGAGGCTAATGAGGCCTTGGTGGAAGGTGACCGCGCCGAGAAGGCCGGGTCCAAGGACGCGAAGAAGAGTGAAAGCTCGTAGTTGATATGAATATGCTGGCGATTTTGTGTTTCGATTTCAGGCATTTGGGTTGTACTTGTCATATAGATGGTTGCTGTGTTTTGTCGGCTCTCACTTGGTTTTCTCCCCCCTTTCAGTTCTCACCCTGTCTTATTTATTCTCGCTATGTTGATAGACCATTTTATCCCCGCCCCTCTACCTTATTTTATTGATCTCTTCTCCATGTGACCTGGTGTACTTTATTGATTTCCTCTGGCTATTTCATATACATGTATCACAATTGCATCAAGTGGATAACTATAAAGCGAACAACCCCAATAACTCCAGTGCATCTCTCCCCTTTCTTAAGTACCTGTAACAGTCGGGGGTAATAAAGTATTCTCCAATAACTAGTTGACTAGGTTTCTACTATTAGTCACCGACACCGATACCGACATTCTCAAGTTACCTCGGCTACTACACCAAACCCCGTCTTTCCCCAGTATAGCCAACTGCCCTACGGAGTACCAAGTACATAGTTCGGTATAACGAATTCGTTTGAAATGCGGAAACGACAGCTCAACCTCTTCCAGAGACTTCGTTTCAGTACCACCAGCCTCCAGAACCAAAACCAACTCAAATTATTCCACTCCAACCCCAGCACTCCCAAACCCCAACCCCGAAATTCCAAAATAATGGCGCCCCTAAATCCTACATCTCAGGTACGTGTAACTTCAATATTCTCTGCAGCTATCCGAAATGACCGCGTGTCCACTTGTGTAATATGAATCTGCTGTATCCATTTTGCCATGCGTATTATCCCTGCCATTTTTTACCCCCCTGTTTACCCCCCTTAAGCCACATGTTGTCTTAAATTGCCATGTTTGTTTTCTATGTTTTTTTTCCCAGGACGATCATACCTGGATATGTATCCAAGGAGGTATGGGAGATAGGGTCATTTGAGTTTCGGCTACAAGTCTTACATGTTGCGTTGGACTTCAAACCTCTTGATTTGGGGGAAGAGTGAGATGGAATATTCCTTTTTTCCTGTCTAAGACAAGTTCTTCGCGGTCAAGAAGGTTTTTTTTTTTTGTTCCAACCGAGACCTCACCCGTTCTTCCTTTTCCCCGTGGATGTCCATCCGGATTTTGAAATCCCACCCCCAGGGAAAAGAATACCCTGACACTTATGATGTATCTATAGGAAGCAATCAGCAGACTCCGCAACTACATCCCCCCGCCAACCGTGTACAATTCGGTCCCGCTAAGCAGACGGGCGGCGGTGCTGATACTGCTCTTCGCCGATGCCAAGGGTGACCTTAAGGTCGTTGTTACGATCCGGGCTAAGACACTAAGTTCGTGTAAGTCTTCTAAGGAGAAAATACGTGGATCAGCCCTGTTTTCAGGAGGCTGCATGACATGGGTTGGTTGTTCGGGAGTAGGCTAATTTCGTTCGGGTGTAGATGCAGGAGATGCTGCTTTGCCTGGTGGTAAGTTGATAGCTTTCCCCAAGACAAAAGGAGGGGGGAAAAAGAAAAGAAAAAAAGAAAAGAAAAAGAAAGAGAAAAAGAAAAAGGCCGGACGCCGAGTCAAGTTGGTCGCCTTAAGATGAATTGGGAAAAAGAAGATAGAAAAAGAAAAAGAAAAAGAAAGAAAAAGGAAGTATGAACTGATGCCTTCTACTCCTTAGGCCGAGCAGATAACATGGAAACAGCCTTCCAAACGGCACGTCGCGAGGCAAGTGAGGAGATCGGCCTCCCCGACATTAACCAAAAGCTTCCACCCCCATTCAGCGTGGAGCATCTCTGCGAGTTCCCGGCAAATCTTGCCAAAACGGAGGTGGTTGTACGTCCCTGCGTTGCTCTCCTCCACAGCCATGATCTACACTCGGGGCTGAATGCCGATCCTGAGGTGTCACTTATTCCTATTTTGGATGCAAGAGAGGTTGAGGCTGTTTTTACGGCGCCATTCAAGGACTTTTTGAGCGAGAGTGGACAGAATGGACAGAATGGACATGAATGGTATCGTGGGGCTTGGGGGATGTGGCATAATTCACAATGGAGAAGTAAGTCTATTTTCATTTTTTCCTTTTCCTTTTTCTGTTCATTTTGTGATTTCTAGATGTCCATAGTCCATATGGGATACCCCAGGGTGGATCGTGACATAGAATGTTTATTTTAGTTTCTTTGGTTTCTTTTTTTCTTTTTTGTTTTTTTCCTTTCAAGACGGGAAATAGGGGAGCCAAGAAAAGGAGAGAAAAGCCATAATACTAACTACGCCACTAGTGCACCAGTTCTTTGTTCGTGAAATTAGTGAACATGGGGAAGATCATGTCTATCGTATCTTTGGCATGACCGCTAGAATTATTGTCGATGCAGCCCGTGTCGCATACGCGCAGGAACCGGAATTTGAACATAACAGTCATTTTGGAGACGAGGAGATGATCGCTCAGCTTTGTCAGTTGGGCCGATTACAAGAAAAGGCAGCCAAACTTAGTTAGAAGAGGGCTGTGCGAGAAAAGGAACATGTCAGGCCTACAGAGTAACTAGATAAAGTAAATCTCTTGGAATCAGCCCAATTATATCCGGTCTAAGCCAATCATATTTCGTTAAGCGGAGCAAGGGTGGTCCAAAGTCCTTGCGTCAGTTCGTTTGACGATTACTTTTGTCGTACTGTATATATGATATTACCGTATATTATCTTATATCTTATATTTTATCTTATATATTCCCAAGTAATATACTCTGGACTCCCTCTCTTAACTCTTTTCTTTGATAGTTGCTATTATTCTTATTATTCATATCACCCATTTTCTTTGATGGATGATTTTTATACTTCCTATTGACTCGACATTCTCGAATCCAAAATGCCTTCCCCAACCTTTTCGTATCATAGTCGAATGGCACCCCCGGTCCGACCATCTCGTTCACTTGAAGGACTTGAGCGAGTAATCCCACCACTCTCACCCCTGTCACCCCAAAATCCCTTCTCAACACGCTCCGATCTCTTTCTCAACAAACCGCTCCCCGCAAAGCCCCTCCCCGAAGAACCAGAATGTTCGGCTATGTGGAGTGACTCCAGCGACAGCGATACCGAAAGTACCCTCGATAGCTTCACTGGAAGTGAACCCCGCCATTCAGCAGATAGCTATCCCATCTTCGTTAATTCTGGCTCCGACTTCGACGACTTAGCCGATCACCCTGCTCCATCGGCCGATCAACTTCTGAGAATATCCCCGCAACCTCCACATAAACGCACGGACTCGATAGATATCAATATCCCGCCATCGATTGTTGAGCCCTCGGTATCAGTTTCCTCTTCATTTTCTGAGACACAGTACGGGCGCCCGTCGCATTGGACCCCAAATCGCACAGGTACAAATCACTATTTCCGCGAGAAAAAGTGGGATTATTTCCCCGAATTGGCGCCTTCCGCTCTACAGGCCAGTGGCCGCATCAGCCCAAATATGGTTACACCGAACAATAAAACCCGCAAAATAGGAAACCCACTGGAGTTCGCCAAGGGCAAGTACCGCTGGCATTCGCTCGACCGCGGTGGTCTCGGCGGAGTGCGCGACTCAATCAAGACTTACGTCCACCGTACTCTCTCACGAGACTCGACCGCAGATAATAAGTCCAAGGAAATTCCCCGCCCGGCGACAGCTCCCATGGACCACCTCAATGATGCAGGAGGTACACTCAGCAGCACTGCGCCGACGCCACAGTTCTCCTCCTTGGCCTTGGACACCAATGTCGCTGTCCGAGTTACATCCGTGGCTACATCCTCGAGTAGCGAGTATGACTATACCAACCACAAATTCTATCTTCAAACACCAATCTCACCAACGTCGCCTACGTCGCTCTCAACCCCCACAACGCCCCGGCCGAAACAACTAGCGGTTCCCCTATCCGCATACCAGAAACACGGCCCTGTGGCCTGGGAATCGCCCAAATCCAAGAAGCGGAACGTTCAGTTCCCGAGATATAAGTCTTCGCCCGGCTCGGCTGCAGAGCTGTCTTCATCTTCGGCCCCCAACTTATCTTATGCAAAGGCCAGCCCTTCTTTGTCTTCGCGGAAGCAGTCCCAGCATAATACCCGAGGGGTGTTCCTGGGTGCGAAGAAGAAGATTACAGAGTCAAAAGATGATCGCAGAAGAGAGCGGTTAAAAGCTCAGATCAAGTTGGTTGGGCCCGTCAACCCACATACTTATGTGCAGGCTGATCCATGGGTTTGAGGTTTGGCTTTTGCCTTGCTGAAACTACTTTGACTTTTCTTTTGTTTGTTTTTTAAATATTGTTTTTCAGCACTCACTCATCTCATGACATCTCACGACCACATCTCATATCTATACCTATACCCTCTCCGCTTTACAACTTTGTTCTTATTTTGGCTCTAACTGCATCATTCTATCTTCACTCGCCTCTCGGTTATCTATGTTCCTTCATTTCCCCTTTACCCGGGCATTTATGTCCTACCAAGCTCTCGTTACATACCATGTTCTATTTCTTTATGTATTTTCTCCCGCCTTTGGTTGGGACCTTTGTCAACACTAGACTTTTACAGTCGTTTTCAGAGCGAGGGTTTCTGGCTTAACATGGGTTGAGCCGCTGACTCTAGACTAAAATCAGAGTCTGCTCTTGAATCTGAGTTATTACCTATTTGGATTCAATGAACATCAACACTAGCTTTCAGATTTACCACCTCAATCTTGGATAGTCAACTGCATTAAACTCAAGTAACCGCAATTAAACTTATCGGCACAACCTATATCGGACCATTTATACAGATGGATCTAGTATTCTTGGTTTCTTACATGTATGCATGTACATAGAGCACAGACACAGCTGCAATCCAAAATGGCCAACGTGGATCGTCACTGTCAGGCAATCATTCCGGCCATATTTAATACACACCCGCCTTCACAGTCAAATGTTAAGTTCACTCCGGTCCAGTCTAGTCACAGAGCCCACATTTCGCCACCGGGCTTGTATGTTCGCGTTGATACATAGTGTAAAAGCAAGGGTCTTTATATTGCAGACCTGTCTGCTAGATAATGTATGTAGACAGGACCAGACTGGATTGTAAATTCCAAAGGAGGGGTAAACCAGGCACATGAGCGCCCTCGTCGATTCTAGTGTAACAGCAAATCGAGAAAACATTTTCCGAGTGAGTGCGTGTAACCACAACCTCGTGTCGACAAGCAGTTCTCCCTAGAACTAGCGGTGTCCGTCTGGATGAGCTGTTCGTTAATAATAGTCCGTGGAATAGTGTTGTGCAGGACTTAAATCAGGGCTTGGAGTCTTGTTTGGCTTTAGACTAACCCCTCATTTAGAATGATGGTGTCACCGACTTTTCGGAATTGAAGTACCTCGCTCTATGTTGATGAAGGACCTGTGGGTAGGTTGCTACGCTAATGTGGTGTGTTTTGCATCAGTAGTGAGATGTCGTTCTACGGAGATCTAGATTTCAGCTTAGGTACGTTTGCTTCATGTTCTCTTGGCTTACATGGAGTATTGAACCTTCGATTAGTATTGTGTCATACATATTCACCGGATTTTAGGCTGCGCGATATGGCTTTCCCTTTCCGCTTTAGTGCTCACTGAGTAAAACTGAGCACGCCCCTGAATATTACATAATCATTAAACTTGCTCATCGCCTGATCATTACATAAGCCGGATGAACTCGCTCGAGCGTGACATAAGTACCCGCTGCCTTAGAGTAAGTATTTCCAGTTCATACAATGGATGGAAAGGAATGTGTTAGACAGGATCCAATAGGACTACGAAGAAGAGTCTAGTATAGGTTCCATGGTATTCTATACCGCCGAGGTTATCTTCTCTATAGTCCTCCCAGAACCGGAAAGTCAAGTATATGCTTTACAATTGCGGGGCGCCTTTGGCTTAATATCTATACGGTTAGCTTAAACTCTGAAAAGCTTAATAAGGATAGCTTAGTTAGCCTCTTCTAAAGCCTTCTAAAACGTTATATTATACCCCTTAAAGACGTAGATAATACCGGAATTAGCTAAGAGGGCAATCGGCGAATAAAGGATCCTAGCAATACTAGTAGAGTGGAGAATTCGCTCCTAGAAAATAAACTTTATAGCGCTGGAATTTCTTTATCGGCCCTTTTGAACTGTCTTGATAGCGTTATAGTATAGGAGGGCCGTATCCTTATTATAACCACGAATCATCTAGAAAAGCTTGATCCGGCCTTGATTTGACCTAGCCGGGTAGATAAAAGATATCACTTTGGCTTCGTGGATACTATGAGCGTTAAGCAGCTCTTTCATGCGTTTTTTGACGAGGAGTCTCTATTTACCTCTTCGATTAGTGCAGAAAGAGAACCAAACGATCGGTCGATATAGGAGAATAGCATATCAGAGCTCTCTAACAAATTTGTAGATATTGTTTCCTTTAGTCAATTGACCGTAGCGGAGGTTAATAACTATCTGATGGGTTTCGGAGACAACCCTGAGATGGCTGTTTCGAATGCTCTTGACTGGGTGAAAGGTAGAAGGGAAGATTCTATGCCCGTCGCGGTTGCGGAATGATCAGGGAGATAGCCGAATGTTTTGAATCATTTCCTTAATCGCTGAAATATGCTTGTAACTTAATCCCAAACCACTATTGCCCTTACGCCATCTCAGACCATAATTTTATACTCAACAAATTAGGAAACTAGAATAGTTGAGATGGGACATTCGATATCGCGATCATTCTCCTCTCCCTGATCCCCCAGATATATGGCATTATGGTTTAGCAAGACTGCAAAATTAATGACGAGGATAAAAAAGCAAAGCATGAATGAAGTGCCATTGGGCGATCAACAAATAGAGTAAGGATGCCGAAGCCAGTTAAGATAGATCTGCATTTCTAATAAGTTACTAGCTAATGCCTGTTTTATCCAAGCAGCAAGAGAACCTCGTAATGCATCAGTTATAAAGGCAGTCTGTAAGTTTTTATTATACATGCACCTTGATTTCCTAGTATATTAACCGTCTGGAATCCAAAGCAAAAGGCTGTTCAACTACCCTTAAGTATGGATGACGACTCAATTTCCCAGATTTTGATCTACACCCTACCTTCCTGGTTTGCTTTCATCGTTGGCTGCATTTTTCGATTTCGGCTTTTGCAAATAGCAAGGCATTTCTGGAATGGCCGTGGCCCAAATGTATGTCTCATATCGAGATTTGCAAATTTAATATACTCACAGAAACTGATTATATCACAGGATTAAGATGTCTCTCAATTTCATATAACCATTAGTTTGATATGTGGATCTCTGTAAGTTCTACAGTCGTCTACTTTATTTCCTCCTTCTAATCAGGAAGTATAGTTGTTTGGGCCAATCGAACACAGAATGCAAACCACTCGAGGGATCGTGTAAAGCAAGATAATATTCAAAAAGAGAGAGACAACAATATCTAAATCTATCTTTTGCAGATCTTATTTCATCCACATTAGCCCTAGCCATAATCAATTCTGCGAGTCTCCTCTCACTTGAGCCAATGCAGGTGTTTTTTGCGGTTTCCAACAGAAGCTAAGCCTCATTAGAACAGGGGTGGATACGATACAACCAGCGTTAGAAAGCCAGGCGCCCCACCCCCAAAAAAACAACCCCAAACACCTCCACCACAATGCTAGGAGTCCTTGGTTGAGTATGACTTATTCTTCATGTTCGAGAACATTTTCCCTTTTCCCGAGACGCCTTGAGGGGAAAAAGCCGAAAATGGACGTTCATCTTACACCATATAAATAAAAGCTTAAGAAATATATATATTATATATTCCCACGTCACCACCCACTCCTTAAGTCCATCGTTATCTAGATTGAATAGCCTACTTTTATTACGCTATCCTTTGTTGCATCATTTTCCACAGTATTTCCAGCGTCCTTTAAAAGATAGCCAACCCCCACGACGAGCCATATAGGCTACGGTGGACCATCTCAGTCGACATACTGTCGCAATGGTTACCACAACGCGTGCCATGAAGAGGTCTGCCTCTACCCTCCAAGGGGTCCCGGGATTGGATGTTGCTCTTGTATGACTGTCTTCTGTAACTGACAAATTTGATTAATTCTTGCTGATATTGTGGTCCAGCCCGAGATGATTGTGTCTCGCCCGTCATTTCTCCTTCTTTACACCCACTACGCCATGATCTATATCGATCATGAGGGCAGGCTCAAGACCTACGAATCTCAGTCTATCCAAGAACAAGACACCAGTGTGTTCAACCCGAAAGTCTGCCAGAATTTCCTCGAAATTCTAGGCGAACGCATCGGCCGCCACCAGCCCATTGACCGTATGGAAAGTATTCTGTATATATGGGCACCCACTAATCTTTTTGCAGAGACACTACGCCGTCGATTGAGATGACGCACGAGCAATACTATGTCCGCCTCTGAAGAGCCTTTGGCCCAGCAGGGTTTGGACGGCGACAACTTCAACGGTTCGATTGAAATGGTCCCTTTAAGAGTTGGGGATACAAAAAAAGTTATGGTTTACTATGAAGATACCCTCAAACGCTTCCTACAGTGTACTTGCCGTGTGATTCTTAAGGCATTTATAAAGTTTATCGAGCCGCGCAAGCAAGTCAAACACCCTAATAACGGCGGGAAGCCACCACCAGGGTCGGCTCCAGGCACTAGGTGCAACCCAGAAAAGACTAAGCTTGAGTTGTGGCCCTCGGACGTTAAGCATAAGGAGCCTGATCACATGGTGAAACCAGGTATGTTTTTTCTATATAGTGATTCATCCTGGTCCGTGCTGACATTTTGTGGACTAGACCGCATCAAACTGTTTCTTCACATTCTTCGCAAGCTCGGTGGCTATGATATCACTGCTGATAAATTGGAGAAAATCGTTAGAGATGCCAAACGGGACTTGAAGGACCCACGCGAGGTCGAGATCATCTATGAGCTCCTTCGGGTGCCTAAGGCCAAAGACCTGGGACTGATGCTAGTATCTGTTGAGCAAAGATCTACTACCCTGACCACAAAGACCAAGGATCTTGCTTTAGCATCAGCCTACGATCTCCCAGGTAGTTCATCCATACCAATACCTCTCAACTTCGAAGTTGCCGACCAACAGGATAATCCTGACTACAAAATGCGGCCCGAATACACCAACTCGTTTTTGCAGCCTATACCCAGTACTCCTATGATAAGCGACACTCCAGTCTCCACGCAGAACAATTTCTCATGGTGTACCTCTGATCATCAGCACACTGAAGCCCAGGCCACTACGGCGGCTGGATCGATACAAACTCCTATCAAAACGTTGCCATCCCAGAAGACTACGCCTCACTGGCAACTAGTCAAAGTACTACAATGCACAATCAAATACTTATGGACTCTACAAGCTTTCACAATATGGACTACCACAACACCATAAGCCAAGGGTCCCAGCCAGTCTGCCCAGGATCAATTGGCCACCACAATGGGCTGCCACTCTACTACTACGTCTAAATTTCAGTGGCCTTGTGAGACTTATTGTTTTTTTCCATTTCTCTTTCTTTGTTGATTACGGATTGAAAAATAGGCGACGCCATAATAAGAAACACTGGACAAGAAAATTTCTTGGTTTGATTTGAAAAGTCTCGGGAGTTTGCAGTTTCTGATATCATATTTCGGTTTAGCGTTTTGCTCTCTGGTCTCACCTTGTCCGACACTTTTTCTGCAGATCTTTCCTATTTTCCCCCCGTCTTTTGATAGTCTTTATCTTTGGTTGTTTGCTGTGTATGTGCTTTGGAAATTTGTCGGGCTTTTTGTTGGTGAATGAGATTTGATATATAAGTCATGATTATCATCCTAGTAAACCCTTTCGAAAACCTTTCATCTTAGGACAAAGCATCGCATATCTCTCCTCCCAGTTTCATTTATCAATGATCGAAGTTTCTAGGGAATCATAGAGCTATATGAACACACAACGAAGCTATGTAAACATACAATCAACAATCTCGATTCGAACGAAGCTCGAATGATACTCCAACAATGGGTGCCAATCCTAAAGAGGACAACGTATCTCATTTTAACAAGCGAGACTTATAGTGGTTAGTTACACCAGGTAAGTAAGAGCCAGTTTTTATCCGTCTAGATTAACTTAAGTTCTCTAGATAGAGAAGATCTTCTCTCCTTTATCCTCTTTAGAGATCATGAACCTCCAATTCCCCTACAGGAGTTGAGTGTATCTTTACAAGAACTCGCTATTACTTCGTTAACTAGACAGACAGTAAGAAAGGCTATGATTCTACGAAGCGATCAACTAACTGGGTATTTCTTGTTTTCTTCATCGGAGCCCAACTGTTGCTTACGTTTATCAATAAGACGAACCTGCAGAAAGCTATAAAGTGTCTCTATTCCCATGTAATTATTCTACTAACCATCGTAGTCACATGGCATTTTACATCCTCTGTTTCCTAAGCCATGTCAATAACACCAATAACACCTACCAAGCCCCTCACTACACAATCGCTACGGGTTATAAGTCAATTCTGTATGTTTTTCTTTGATCCAACATGTAGCGGATATCTAACTAATGTCCGTGAAATGAGCAACCCTCGGTTCATAATTGAACGCGACGATGTCACTACTTACATCATTTCATCGGCCCGGCGTGTGTATGATGATGGGCCAATTACTACCGATCTGCCATCCGATTTTCTTTCTCGGCATATAGGATATGCCCCTCCGGCATTCATTGAGAATATAGTGGGGCCAGGTGTTAATAATACCGACTTAGAAAGTATGGTCGTGCTATACAGTCTTCTGATTATGGATATCCTGCCTCCCAGTGGCCTGCGTATCCCAATCAATCGCATACTTTACTCGCATAACGGGGAGGACCTTATGCGTCATCTTGTGGATACCTCAACATCGAGCACCAAATTCATATTTGTATATATCATTGATAATAAGGTTCTTGGATATCAACAAAAAATGCAAGGGTTTGATCTTGCTCGAAAACTTTCAAGTTGCGTTTATATCTCGAGCAAAAAGACGGAAAGAAGACTTGGCTGCTCAATAACTATACAATAAATCCTTTGGATTCATCTGAAAGCCGTGCCCCGGTTGGTTTTCAGCTTCTTTCCCCACAAACGTGCAGGAAATCGCGACCTAGCAATTCGATTCACCCAACGCAATCGTCCAGACTTTCAGAAAGTAAAATTGAGTTTCTCCGCGTTTAGCTACAATCATCGTTACTCACTATATAAAGAGACCGTCATTTCCCGAGCAGTGAGAGCCAACCGTCCGGATCCTGATATCACAGTCTAGCGTATTCTTGTTCAAATATGTCTCCAGCGGCCTCTTCCTTGCTTCTAATATAGCTGCTCCGGCTCTCTGCAATGTACTCCATTCGATCTAGTCGAGAACTTTCGATGACACCGAAGACTACTCCACACTACGTACGCTATTCCCTTGTTGGCTGTTGGCATGTGTGGTTGGCTCATCGCTACTCCTTTCTCCATTCTGAAGTGCCATCTCTCACTTTTCTAGTTAATCTGCAGTTATCAGAAAGCCGAAGTCGAAAACAAATTTTTAATTTCTCCCCTTATAGCATATCCCAAGCCCATTATTCAACAAGATTCGCAACAAGATCAGAGGCCATTTCCCCATAGTCATCCAAAATATGCCGAAATCGAGTATTCTCAGCCAGTGTTCGCGCCTCACGTAAGATATAGAGAATGATCAACATTCTAAGGGAATAGCATCCACCTGGCTCTTGTCTACCTATCTGCTTATGGGTATATACTAGCAGATCAAGAATGTATATTATAGTTTGCCTGTTAAGAGTAAAATTGTAAAGGATACGGTGAAGTGACTTTAAGCACTATTCTCTTAATCGGTCAATAAGATACCGTATCGCGAATATATACATTTTTGCGTGGGTAAGAAGGTCCGGATAAGGGGAGATTGTGGCCTCATCTCTAACCAAGCGAAAACCTCTAAACTGACTCCACCGGCGTTTATATGGACTTCGAACATATATTGAGTTCGCGTATTCAATCTCTAGCGGGGGTGAAGGACAGTAGTTCTTTCTTTGCATTTTCTTACTAAGCGTTCCCTACTCACAGGGGTATAAAACTAGAGGTTCTGGTTCTGGTTCTGGTCCCGGTCCCGGTCCCGCTTCTAGCCCCGGTTCTGATTCTTGTTGTAGATTGCAGTCTTTTAGTTGCACTCGATCTAAGTTAGGTATAAGTAATCTTTCTTGTGACGTATTAACCAGTACTTACTCTCTACACTAAAATGGCTATCATTGTCTTTGTCTTTACGGTAAGACGTAGTATAATTGCATTTGTAACTAAACTCATAAAAAGTAATAAAAGTTTCCTCTTCTATGTTATCTATAGTAGTAGCTTTAGATACCGCCTCTTTTATACAACCATTGTTTATTAGAGCATCTAAAGGGGCTGATAAGTTACGAATAAGACCGGCGTAGATTGTTAGCTTCCGCTGATCGTGTCTAATAAGAAAGTAAATTCTGAAGATCGAATACGTCTTCGGTAGTTAGTTAGTAAGTGAATTTCTAATTCAATGAACGGTGATCGTACTCTTCAAAGTTTTTCATTCTTAAATAGCTCTGACCTAGCGATCTATACAGCAGATACTATACTAGCAACTCTGGTACAAGCTCGGGGTTAGCCTGGGCTAAATAGCATTAGGTAAAGGGATTTCATATGAATCTACCAGTAAGTTCTTGCCATCTAGCCCATACGGAAGCCCACATAAGACCCTTCAACGGCCAACCGAATGAGGGGAAGCAAAATTGGGCAGCGAGAGTTGTTATCTGGTAGAAAACACGCCTGGACAGACGGAAGATTCGCCAAAGTGGAGAAAGGAGTAGCGACAAACCAATCATATATGACACAGCGCGGAAGTAGGGTATAGATTGGCCTGGAATACGGGCCTCGTCTATTCGATGATGTCCGGACTCCATAGGTATGAGTCGAGGCCACATGGAACCATACGTCAAGAAATTTCAAATTCCGAATATCAGGTTGAGTGGCTGATTAGTTTATTCAGGTCACCCAGTGAATGTTGATATTAAAAGCCTTATACCTTAATATATACTCTTCAGCTCCCATCTCTAAAACCAAATTCTAGAGTATTAACCATGATACGAGTCATCCGCCTCTTTTTTTTAACGCCTCCGATTACCCGCCTGCCTAACATCCTACCGCGGATGCATCAGAAATTCCAAGACTTTACCGAAGCCGCTCCAACCATCCATCAGGTCCTCAAATCCTTATTGATACATTTCATACCTGGAATCTCGAGTTATTATGGCACCCTAGCCTTGATCACACGGGCCATAGGTTTGACAAAGACAAAGCTCTCCTTCATCTTTAAGTTCATAGTGATTTCACCCCTTAACATAACGATATATCTCCTTCCGGTTGGATCAGACCAGGCTTCCTCTCCTCAGAGCCGGATGTAGCCCCGGGCAGAAAATGCCAAGGCACCCAAGACCTCCATACTACAATGTCGGGCTCGGCGCACTCCGATGAAAAAAAAGAACTGCCTCAGGTTGAATCTGAATATCCTCAAACTCCGAAGGAATTTCGAGCGGCAATTTTTCGATTAGCTATTGTTATCCCCACGTTGGTTATTTAGACTTACCTTGACCGTTAGATTATTTGTCGAGAGAAGTACAGGACCATATAGCCTACGTTTCATATGGGCTTCATCTTTACTATTCAAAACTGGAATCAGTCTCTGAATACGGAATCAGTTATATCAAGACCAGCATCATGTGATCAGAGTTTGAAAATTTACTTCAATGTCTCCCAACATGGATACAATAACAGTCAGCACAGTACCTGCCTAGTAACAGCGGCCCGCTATTCCAAATATCGACTCCGAATCTGTTCGCATACTCCCCAAATCCTTCTCCTGTTGGCAAGTCCCAGGGTATAGCCATAGCTTTTTCCTGTGGATCCGCCGTGCTCACTACAAGCAAGAAGCAGCCTAGAAGCCTTCTCCTCGATCTCCTGTGATTGGAAAACAGAGAGTTCGAGCACCTCCCACAGCCATGGATATGTATCGACTAACTTGGCCTCCCACATGGAACGCGGAATCAAGGTAGCGTGCATGACCCGCGAGGCCGCCTTGAGAGCCAAAATTGATTCTGGGCGAAGGTGCTTGAAGATTTCGTGTCGCAGTTCGATCGGAAGATGACTGAAAATATCCTCTACATGGAGCTTCGTCTCATTACCCAGGTAGGTTTTCGTGTCTAACAAGCACTTGATGTCGCTGATCTCCGATTCGAGCTCCGGTATGTCGACTGGATTTACTACTAGAATCTGGGCATGTTAAATTTTTAACCCGCATTATTTGCTCTCAGCTTCTTACTTACCTCCTGTCCTCGGAGATTCTCCCACACCTGCTCTGCGGGGGGGTCTGGGTCGCCATAGTCAAGTTGCAGCCGGACGTACCGGCCACCGTTGGCCTGTTCGAAAACCTGGTACAGCGTATGTCCCCGAATTCCACCTGACTTCCTCAGGGAGATGCATCTCCTCAGAACCTCGTAGCAAACGGAGTGAAAGGGAAACACATGTGGTGTGTCGATTTCCGCAAAGTCGTGATATCTGTGAGAGGGTTAGCGGGTAAACTGGAACAGGAGACAAGGGGTGACGCAAAACATACGCGACCATGGGAACAATCTCATTCTTCGGGTATGGGATGTTCATATCTACTAAGCGATTTCATCATTGACGGCTAGTTCTAGTGCCCCGGAGGGCTATGCAATCAGAGCAACGTACTATTCCCAGCAACAACTTCAATTCCACCCTAGCATGACCTCCAGCTTCAGTAAATCATAGTGCCAGCGAGAACACTGTCAACGGGTTCGATCAGCTTACATAGTCAAAGTAGCGACCAGATCCCGTCAGAAACGACCTAGAAAACGTGGGCACTTAGTTTTATCAAGACGGCCATAGCGAGTCACTACGAACTTGTCACTTCCGGTAGCGTCGGGATTCATTCCTAGGGCACGTAGTTCGTCGAGCCACTCCAGGTTGCAATCCTCGAGGATGTCGAAACGATAGGCCCTTTCGTCGGTCCCTTCGCAGTCCATGTCGACCTGGCTGGAGAATGGACCTCCGCAGATAGCGCAAAAAATCGCCCAGCCACCCATCTTGATCACTGTGCACGAATGATATATCGTTGTGAGGCAGAAGAAAGGATAGCGCGTCTTTATAATCGTAGCCAGTGGGAGATTGGTGCCTGGTGCCTGGTGCCTGGTGCCTGTCCCGGATGGGAGTTACCACCATGCCTATGCGGGACTAGCTTACAAATCATGCCAATATCGCGCGAAACGGGCAGTCCAACTGTGCTCATCCCCCCGGGCAGGAAAATTGACTTTTACGGGTTTACAGATACGCTACTTTCCCAAACAATAACAGAGGGGACGGACTGTCTGTTCTTACTCTTCTCCGCTGTACAACCAAAAACTTGCTTTAGCTGGGAAACGTCGCTATGGCCCCCCTGGATGCTCTGCCCGAAGAACTGATCAGCAGGATATTTGAATACGTCTCGACCCTAGAGACCCTCAGAGAAACATTTCAAGGAAGAAAAAGAACAGAAATAGCGCCCCTCTAGGCCATGATTAGAAGAAAAAGGATTGGTTGGAGGTCATGATCAACAATGTTAGCTGAAAGGGTCATCTGGAGTAGACCTCTGCACAGCCCATTAATGGGGGCCCATTAAAGCCCATCAAAAGCCCATTTCTGTGCACAAATACAGTCTTAGCATACATAAAGTAGATGATTAATGGCTGTATTTTACGCAGGTACTAACCTATATCTTCAGTATTATTATATTATTATAGTAAGAAGTAGGAATTAAGTGGATTTTATACTGATTTTAGTATCATAATACTAGATTTCATATAAAATTTCATACAAAATAACCCCAAAAAGATCCAATTTGACCATAAATTCGTACCTAGAAGGAATTACTAAGTATTTGTATAAAGAGATATATATTATTTATAGAGGATAAATACCACTTTCTACAGTTAATTATAGTAATACTTACAGAATAGCGTGAATATAAGCAAGTCTTGGCTTAGGTTAATTTCTATATACGCTAGTGTAATACCCGGTACGGCTATATTCTAACGAATACGGAGCTTGTTGCTATCAAGCGTTTAGAGGGAAGTGGTCGTATGGCGGTCTCCACGGCTGTGCCCTAGAGAGGTAGAGGTATAGGAGAATTATCGGTACTCCTAGCTTTATGGTACCTCGAATGCTTGCAGCGGAAGATGCGACTTGGTTTCTAAATGCATAGTAGATCTCGATAGGATGTTTACTTAGCCTTCGAAATATAAGATATGATTATCTCTATAAATACTATAATATAGAGCTCGTTCGATATCGTGTATTATTTCGTCCTTCTCAAAGTCCTAGCTCCTCGATCATCAGGCCTGTATGTCGGAAATGGCCTTTGGCGCTTTCTCTCGCGCACCCACGGTGTTAATATACCATTCTAAGAACCCATAGAAGCCTTGACTAGGGTCGTCCTCAAATAATTTCCAATTTCACTTTGATCGAAACTAAATTAGCGTGTTTTCAAAATATCGTTCGGTGTCGTAAGTGAGAATCACATGATACAGAATCTCAGGATTACTGTAACCGAACGGGAGAAAGTTTCGATTCCGGAGGATACAGTACGCTAATTACCGCGGTCGACAATAAAGTTCTATTGACCAGATAATGAGAGGTATATTGGATTCTAAGGAAAGGTGGTTTATTTGACAGGATTTGTGTTCTGAATCAGTTGTTAACAGAAATAGAAAGTAACCTGCAGTTTTTGAATAAACCGCTGTGAGCTAGTAATTTTGCGTTCGACAAAAGCATTTGGCGAATGCACACCTGAATTGATATGGAAAGTTTCCGAAAGAGTTGAGCGAATGCGATCGGTGCCGCGCTTGTTGAAAATGGAGTGCCTGAATCAAAACATCCGAGGATCCTTCAAGTTTTCGGCCTATCATAAATGCTCTTGATGACAATGTCGGCTGAAATACGAGGGATCTGCACTTAAAAACTACCGAGGACCAAGGTTTTCTTAGGCGAGAGCAATAAATATCAAAGACAATCACGGTGCGCCAGACGCGATCACATCCATCACAAACAAGAAATTCAAACAGAATCCGGCAATGTCAACCGAAGATGCTCCTTGGATCCTCGCCCTCGATGGAGTCGAATGCCGCATCTGCGGACATTCGATAAAGCTCCAGTATGCCGCAGAAGACCCCAAAGGACCAGGAGCATGGCGAGGATACTCCCAAGATTTACAGTTAGCATCTCAACAGCCCGTACCGCAGGCCCTTGTACCTGCTGAGCTATGCTCCTCGACCTTCCATAGCGAAACTCGAACCATGCACGCAGCGTGTTGGAAGATAATCGAGGGCATCTGGAAATCCGAGTTCACAATGGCTGAATTGGACGGTTTTCTCGATGTTTCATCGGATCTCGCACCTTTCCTGCCTGAAATGCCCTACAAAGTGTCCCCGATCGAGATCGACGCGGGCCTTACATGGGAAGGATCAGGACAAACATCTCATCGAAATGGCATCACGATTTCCGCTTCTGAGGGGTTTTTAACCACCTTGGAAACTGAGGGATTAGAAAAGCCTTTGCTCCCCGATATGAGGTATCATGCTCTCCCGCCGGACTTGGACCGCCATGTTCGCCGATGGCTCTCGGACTCTGAAGCCGAGGACGTTGAATCCCTGCGGAATCCCACTTTGGGTTATTGGTCATCGGTCGCAAGGATGTTAGAGAACCATCCTCAATTCTCGAACGTACCTCCTGCAGAGGTCGCAGAGGATATTACCCAAACTCTGAAACATCTCTATGACAGAGGGCTCGGTTGTTTTCCTCATCTGGCCAACTACGATGCGGTGCATGCCAACGCGATGACGATCCTTCTAACGCTACTAAAGCTCCCACTTGAAGATATCCAGGGGGCGCCCGATCTGAAAGGGAAGAGAGCGAGGCTGCAGTTGTCAAGAAGTATACAGTTGCCACCCGCCCTAGACACGCCTGCAAAGCTGAAATTGCAGTTATCGACCCTCCGTCGACAGAATTATGCGGAGGGAAGCCCCAATCGGAGTAACTTACGTGTAGGTATGAAATATCTGCATGACATCTGGTTCGGCCCACCAGATGCAGATATCGCAGCAGAGCCTGGCGACGTGGTCGTGGAGGTTCCTTCTTTCGCGGGTCTGCGCTTCGTCAGGGATCACCTAGGGGTCTTCGCCGTGTTGGCCAAGCAGGGCGAAATGTGGCATTCGTGCTGGCAGCAGGATCCGACGGTCAGGTGGCAGGAAGGAATGCCGGGGACTGAAAGCACGACGGTAGTTGAATGGCAGGCAGGGATGGGTCAGCCATCTTTCTTGATTGCATCCGACGTAAGGCCAAGTCTATTCTCTATGATACACTCCTTGCTAATTTATCTTTCTAGACATATCGAGATCTTATGCTGTTGGACCAAAACAGCAGCAAAAAAGAAAAAAACAATTCAAAACGGAAGAAGTTAAAACAATTGTTTAAACTGTCCAAAGATTAAGGAATCCAGGTCAGGTTTTGCATTAATATTTAATTATAATGCTTGCACCAAGTGGAACTCGCAGCACGGCAAGCTACATTCCGTGGAATCGCTACATTCCGTGGAATCAGTTAGGTAAAAGAGCAACGGCCGACCTACTTGACCCCCGAGAAATGTCTACTCCCATAGTAAACGAAATGATAAACTCCTCGAGCTGCTCCTTGCTCCTATAACACCAATTCGAGCGACGTAGAGACGATGGAGACGCCATGGATGTGTTCAGGTGGCAGCTGCCGCGTCCCTGGCCAGGAACATGGGCGATGAAGATTCAAGAGGTTATTCGATGAAAATTAAATGCCACATCAAAGGACGCATTGGTAAAGCCCAGAAGGTAAACAAGAGTGGTGGAAGGCTGACTGCTGCTGAAGTGGAAGAGGGGGGTCACATGTATATAGTAGTTTCATGTAAAATACATTACTTAGTTAAGGTCTTAGGTTTGTATTGTAAATGTCACATACTTTTATAGAAAGCGGCCTAGAAGGCGGGTCTCCTTATATAATAACCAACTAAAGCTCGGGCCTTCCGGATACCTTTTCCGCGAATGAATTATAGAAGCCCTTTATAAGCTAGTTTAATATACGATCTAACGGGCTAGGCGGGCTCCGAGATCTTATACGAAGTAGAGCTTTAATTAATAAAGCCTATCGACGTAGTTCTTTCTTTATAAAGGGGGTTTTTAGGGTAAAATTCCGGCTTAATTTACTCCCCCTACTCGGAGGGGGTAGGTATTCGGAGCTAGATATCGAGCTTTAAGATCACTCGGTCGGGTCTAAATAGTACTAAACCGGCTACTACGAAGCTATTTTTAATTGTCTCCGATTTAAAGGCTTTAATTCGTATAAGGGGTGTTAGCATCATAGTATTATATAGGATATATATAGGATATATATTATGGTATATATATATTATTATGGTGGGAAAGGAGCCTATATATATTTTACCGGTACTATCTAAGTGATCCTTAGATATATGATATATGGTAAAACTATATTATGACTCACTATCATCTGCCATATATAGTGAGATCATATTATGATATTTGCCATATATAGTGAAGTCATATTATAACATTATGAGATATTACATTATCTTATAATTGCCTCCTAACTAGCTATATAAGGAATCGAAATTCCTTGCTTAGCTGGTATGTTATGATAATATAAGCATAACAACAATCAACTTGACTTCTGCCTCTTATATTATTTCCTATTCTAGCTAAGTATAACCCTTTATATCTTATATAATATAATTATATAACTAGTCAAGCTATAAAGATTACCTAATACTACTTCCCTACTAAAATATTATAACCTACTTATAGGCTATAATATTATATCTGCTAAAGTGCTAACAAGTAGGTTATAATATTTTAGTAGGGAAGTGGTATTAGGTAATCTTTATAGCTTAACGTATTCGGTAAGCGAGCGGCGCACGCAAGCGAGTGGCGCACCCCAACTAATATATTAATTTCAAATATAAATATGTTAACCAAAACTCCATTAAATTAAATATAGTAAAATCATCTATCTAGCTAGGCATCTATTAATCTTATGTCCTATCCCTCCACAACCACTACACTTTAGCGAGGCCCGCGTACGTGTGTTACGGACCTATCTGTCACCAATCAGTGGTGACCCACCAGGCACACCAATAGGCCATCGAGAGCCAACCAGGATACCTATCAGCAGATCACGTGCAAGCTCACTAAGCAAGAGTATGATCCGCCCTAAGCGGATCTATCCCGTAGAGGATTTCCGTTATATAGGTTGCTCTACGTACTAGACAACCACTACTTAGTATCACGTGATTATATAGGTAGTAGAAGGGTAGTAAGTAGATTAGTAGAATCCGCTAAGGCGATTCTACTATTCTACTATCTACTATTCTATATAGGAAGAACTTAGGGATATATAAGGATACTTATTTATATATCTAGTTTAGTTCTTCGTCTTTAATTATATATTATTACTTATATTTACCTTTTAGATTATTATAACTCTTTACTTAATTATAACTTAATAATACTTATAAGTAGACTAATACCCCGGTATAGATCTACTCGGCGCTCTATCTAGTATTAGTTCCTTAATCGCTTAAAAGGACTTAGGCTATAGTAAGGCCCTGCGCGGCAATAGCTCAGTTGCGACCCGATCATTGACGTTGGACCATTCGAGGAGTATTAAGGCAAGTATACCCTGAACCCATCTAACCTAACTGTGACCAGTTAGCTAGTGCGTAACACCTACTCTCGATTTCTAGGTTATAAAAATAAACGCTAACTATAGTATTTACTCCTTATAATAACCTTTATAGTTATAGTTAATCCTATTATAAAACCGGTCTTATTAAAGTTATAGATATCGTCGGGGTCGATTCTATATTAAAAGATTGTCTTTTAAACTAGATTAAACTACTCTCTAATGATTTTAGGGTCTTTATATTTCGTATACTTATAATTATATCGTTTAGGAATCGGGAGGAGAGGAGAGGATACTATTTAATAAAGTTATATACCTATTTTTCGCCGACTAAAAGAACTAGGGTAGTTCTACGATTTTAAAGAAGAAGATCCGCTATTTCTTATATAGTAAAGTGCCGGGGGGCTAATCTATAAGAATCTATAGATAGAATCTATTTTTTAAGAGATTCCTCTTTAATTATAGTTAATTTAGAGTAATTAGCGCGAGAATTCGCGCGGAATTAAACTCTACGAAGGCGAGTCCGAAGGGTTGATTTAGGTACGTTAAAACGGCGCGCTACTTCGCGAATAGCGTTAATTTCTTACTTCTTAATAGCCTAGAGAGCTAATAAGATCCTACCCTCTCTCTCTATTAAATTTTAAGAAGATTAAGTACGAATTGGTGGCATAGTGAGTGGATGAACTAACTAAGATCTAATTCCTAGACGCGTTTTGGGTGGGGTGCGCAGCTCGGTTGCATACGTAGCTCGCTTACCGAATACGTTAACGTATTTCACTACCGAGTGGCCCACCCCAAAACACCATAGTAAATGCGATAAATTACAACTTGATATCTCAACAACGATAGTCTATATAGAGCTTTCCTTATAGCTAAATACCTTTGTAGGTGATATCTAGCTTCTCTAGGGAGTTTAGAAAATATTTATGACTTTATGTTTACGCTATATTTGATTCTAGCTTTCAGTAACGTAATTTTTGATACCGTGATAATATAGTCGTTCGATTCTCTTGAAATTAATATATGGTGTTTGAAATCCTTATCAATAGCTATCGAGTGATAATATAATCAAATAATAACGTGGTTGTTGTTATATGAGGTTGTAAAATATCGCATTTACTATGGTGTTTTGGGGTGGGCCACTCGGTGGTGAAATACGTTACGTCGACTATAGAGGTAGAGCTACTAGCTCTAGCCGAGGTAGGCAAAACTATATAGTAATAGCGTCGAGTCCTCTCTATATTAGGCTTCTAACCTAACTACCTATTATCTATTATATATAATAACTAGTAAACCGTCGATTTATTAACGAAGGAAGGGGCGGCGATATATATGAAGCTCCGGTATATTAATATTAATAGTTACTAGATAAGATAGGAGGTTAGCGAGGGTCGAGTTAATATTGACTAGGTTCTAACTACGGCTATACTAGTAGATAGCCTTACGAAAGCGCTTCTAAAGTAGAAGTAGTATATCTTTAGAGAGCTGATTAGGATAAGAGAGATTAGTTATCTGATCCCAGAAACAGAGGCTGTTTAAAGAAACTATAGCAATAAAGAAATTGAGGCTATTAGAAGGCTTGGAATTGATGAAATTGAAGCTATTGGAAGGCTCGAAATTGAAGGAATTGATAGCTCTTAAAGCTAGAAAATATAGGCTTTAACAACTAGAGGGTGTGTCGAATACTACTAAGTCCGAATATATAGTAGAAACTAGGTAATATACCGGAAACATCATATGACATTGGGTACCAGGCATACCATACAAAAGTGCATATTACAGTTAGTTATCATGGTCCGCACAGATTGTTGAAATAGCGGGTTTTGTCATTTTTAGTTAGTTAGAGTTGTTAAAATTGGTCATCTATACCATACATTGTTCGTACACCAGTTCTCTGTCATCCGACAATAATAGTTCCGTAGTCCTATAGTTGTTATTGAGAATTATATCAGGCCTGAGCTCGGAGGCAAGCGAGCAGCCTAAACTTTCTCTGCTCGCTCCTCTCGTTTGTGCCGTGTCCCTATCATAGACATCGCGTCGGAGTCCTCCTTCTCCTTCCGATTCATCGCCCGCCAAATAATAAACAAGAAGAAAAATACGAGAATATAAAAAGTGATGGAACGATAATAGCGACATGAATCTGCATCACAGTATTGACGGCAGATAGGGTACAACACCACGAGGGGAGATGCGAGAAGACCAATTGTGACGCTATTAATAACAGGATTAGAATCGCAAAAGTGTTTATTACTAGAGATAGAGACGTACTAGACCAGATGCTGATAGTACCCCATCTTTTGTAACATGAGCTCGGGGAGACCAAGAGGGGGGACAGGGCGGTTGTCCATTGCATCAGATGCGGAAGGGGGGACAGAGATTTCGCCCATAATGAGGTTATGCACAGAAGTGGAGTGAAAATGAAGTCAAGTTACCTGCGTGGTCAACGCTTATTTAAGGCGCCATTGAGAAATCAAAGGAAAAGAAACAGAAAAGAGAAGAAACAGCCTTCCCTGGACCCACCTTAAGTGGAGCATGCTAGACGAAGTCCAGTTTGCGTCTTTGTACTCGTAGCAACCTGAAATTGTGTCCCTCGGGGGTACGGAGTACTCCGTAGTGGAATTGTGCATACTGGTCTCGGGCCCTACATAACCATTCGAACGTTCCAGAGTAAATAAAAACTAGAATCCCTAAATTTCTATTGAAGAGCCCCAATAAAGAATATAACCAGGTGATGGGTAATGATATCCCGGAACTTTTCTCGAGTATCCCCGAACTGGAACCTGAAGTAAGGGGTTTCAATTGGTTCTACGTACCCACCCTTCAAGCTTATCCACAGATGTGTTTGTATAGTGGATCAAAGACTCGCCAAATGAAATAATAAATACATAAATGATTTCCGATGCCCTTCACACATTGAAAATACTCATCCCATCACGAATTGCAAGATAGAGCCAGCTGAAAGACGGTACAAGTCCAGCCTCTTTCCACTCTGAGATCTTTATGTTAGTATGTTGTTGAACAGAATAGGGCAGGCTCGCTGAATCCCAGACCAGACTCCAAGTCTAAGAATTGGATACGGTAGATCTACATGTATCCACTTGTGAGGAGCCCGTTGATCTCCCAAGCTTCCCGTGTAGTTTTCTAGTTTAAGATACTTGAGACATATGAACCATGTCCTTGAACTTTGTATGGCTGGAGCAAAGCTTTGTCTCCATTGGGGCCAAAGGTAAAGGTCTCCTTAGAGGGTCAATGGTCTTACTTTTTGGCCCGAGGTGGTCCCATTGTTATAGGGCATGATATCTGGGGTGCCCATGTGTATATGTATGGCTGAAGAGTTTTTATATTCGTAGTGGGCCAAGAATCATACGTCTGAAATGCTACATCTAAGACAGATACCCGCAATTGCTTCCCATCTTGCACTCCATGGAACGTCTCGATGCGACTGCGGAGTACTTTAGTATCTTCGCAGCTCTTCTAAGGGTCGGGGCCTTGGCAATATCAACGTACAGAAAATGCCTCGTGCAAATTGGCTTCTACCCTATGGTTTGCTTGCTATTCTGAGTGAAATATGGGTCTTGTAGTGATTCTTTAGGTATAAGTATGCTTGCTTAAGCTCAATCCATTCCTGTTCATTCTCCCAAGTCTCGTTGGTTTTCTTAGCTTGGCCTGCTTTGTCTGTCAACCTTCAGCATGAAGCTATCTCAATTCCTTCTCTCCGTGCCATTCCTTGGCAATGTGGCTTTCGCTGCTCCTACAAAATACACCACCGAAGAGCCACGTGCGTTTGATCAAAGCCCTTTTCCCTCCGGAATTGTTCAAGCGGAACTCGAAAAAAGGGCAGGCACATGTCAGAACATTGCTAGATCAATCTGGTCTGGTAAAAGATTACTAGCAGCGTAAGTCCTACCTGCACACTATTCATGGCTTCCTATTTTGTCTATACGATGCTGACTTGCCCTTTTTGGTATTAGGGGCGTGTCTGTTACTGCGGCCAGCCAGACTGTCAAATCTATCTGTGAAAGACACATTCGACTTGATTTTCGTCCTTACGACCATTGTCAGTGGAGGAGTCGCAAATCTCCCCGATGGTACTCCATCCCTCGATACAAACCCGGCAGGTGCACCGGGCTCGGCGGACGTTAAGCGATCATTGCCCCGAGACGATATGCTCACGAGCACCGTGAATGCCGTTAGACAACACGGCTGGACCTTTGACTCTATCGAGAGTATCCCTATTTCAATAAGTGGACACCAGGCGCGGGATGATACTCCGGCATTGGTATCTCGTCATCTCATGAAGAATATGAGAAGCAAGAACGGCACGAGGTCTCGTGATTACGAGTTCCATCACTTCGCTGATGGAACCTCCCATACTCACGCCCCACTGCTCAAGAATGACAATGCGACATCGACTGTCGCCAAAAGACATGATGGCGCCGGTGTCAAAGTTGTCTTCTCTCGCACTGGTATTGCCGTCAGCAAAGTTGAATACTCGGGCGCTTCTGCAGCCATTGCATCTGCATGGGATGAGCATGCAGAAGCTGGTAACAGCGACTTCTATGGATTTGCTGAGAGAATGATGGCAAATGGAGGAAAGAAAGCCGTCCTTTACTGGCGTACCATTGTCGAGGCTAGTGGATTTGGTAATAACTACGAGCGCCTCGACGGTTGTGGGAAAATGGGAGGATATATTGGGCTGTACATGGGTCCTTGAAGATGTAAATAGACGGCTTGACGAAGTTTGGACATTGCTCTGTACTAGGTGACTTGGGTTGAGTTTACTAACTGCACGAAGAATGAGAGCGTTGCTCAGTTCACAAATCCGGTCAATCTATAGTCGTTGAAGATAGCCACATCAAGTAATGTACTGAACTTCATCAATTGCAGGCCAGAGCTTAACTGCTCAACATATTGGTTGTCATTCATACCTTCGCATAGGTCTTATAGACGAATTAATTAAAGGGACATACAACATACTCTAGATGTTCGAATACGAGGCGTTAGTTATCAGCGAGACTAGGTACGCCGAATACTCTGTCTCATCTGGAACGTTGGTGTACGGATGCGCATAGCAGTAGTTCTGCAGATACAAAGCAAGAAATATGGTCATACGTAAACGACACGAGATTCGGCATTGCCCGCACGCAGGATATCAGGTTCCGGATGAACCTTCCGTAGAGCGCCGCGTCCTCCTCCGGCGGATGGGACTCAGGATACCAGGCTCCCGTGATTACTTTCAAGCTTTTCACATAGCGAAGACTTGGAACGATTGGGGGGTCGGCGGACTCCAGGGATTCGATTTCCTCAAAACTAGTGAAGCGGAGAGAGAAGAATAGGATTGGTGTGAAAATGCCATTAAAGATATAATTATATTATATAAGATATAAAGGGTTATACTTAGCTAGAATAGGAAATAATATAATAAGTAGAAGTCAAGTTGATTATTATTATACTTATATTATCATAACATACTAGCTAAGTAAGGAATTTCGATTCCTTATATAGCTAGTTAGGAGGCAATTATAAGATAATATAATATCTCATAATATTATGATATAACTTCACTATATATAGCAGATAATAGTAAGTTATAATATAGTTTTACTATATATCATATATCTAAGGATTACTTAGATAGTACCGGTAAAATATATATAGGCTCCTTTCCTACTATAATATATATATAAAGGACTAGCTACCATCACCGGCTTAATGTAGAAAGGATGCCTTGTACTAATTGTAACTTTCATAGGTATCTTCTTACGGCTTGCGGTTAAATGACTTTCACTTATCTGGCATGATATTATATTTAGCTGTACAAGGCAAAGATGCATACAGAAAGACAGCAAAGGGGATAACCTGGTCTTCAAAACTTTAGTTAGCCAAACCAAATACGGGGTATCTGGAACGACTCGTTCAGTTTCATAATAAATTTCATATAAATTCGGTATAAAGCCACGACAATCCCAAGACCAGGCCAAAACCGCAGCGGTACTGAGCGGAATTATCATTAACGATGAGCGAGAATGCATGTATAAGGCAAATAAAAGGCCCTGATACACCTAGAAATCCATTGGGCGTGGTTTCAGGGGGCCAGATGCAAGGTTCTGGGCATGTATAGCAGCAAAACGACCGGACACAGACATTTCGATCAGGGCCTTACGGACCCTCCGAATTATATCGTACTTCTTCACGAGCGGGGCTTCTAGAATAAGACATTCGGACTTTTCCTATAGGGTAATTAGTTCCGTTCTGTCGTAAGGCTTTGCCTGTATATAAGGAACTTACTAGAAGTAAACGGACACCAGCTTTAGGACCTCGCATCGAATCTTAGTTTCCAAAGACTCTGAATGATGAACCCGATACGCTTCGTATGGTAGTCTATAAATTGATTAAAGCCTCGAGGAGTGGGCGCGTAGGCAGTTCATTATACGTCTCGCAATAATTAGTCGGCAATCAGCCCCGATATGTAGAATCTAGTACTGAGGCATCGGCCTAGCTATTAGCGTAGATAGAGTGAACTAGAATAATACATCCCGGATCCAACGAAACAGTGACTGCCGAAGGAAGAAAATAGGCAGTCGATTGTGAAGGGTAGAAGGCACGGAGGTATCCGTGAAGCCTGCTTATCAATGGAACCCAATTTGCCGTCGTCTGGACGTTGAATTTGAAAGTGGACGAAAGAAGGAGTTTGCCAAATGTACAGCATAGGCCGAACTCCACTTTTGAAGCCTCTTTTTTAAATCATTTCTGATCTCCTCTTTCTCTTCCTCTGGGAGCTCGAAGCCTCGAAAGCCAATACAGCACCCGCACTCTGTAGTGAAATGACCTCTGCCTTTCTTCCTTTTAGATAGATACCTCTGTTCGCAGCATCCACATTCCCGGTTACAATATCCACCTCGATCTGAACAATCCTGAACCATTTCTTTGCGCATAAACCATCTGGAATCACGCCTTAAGCTGTCATAAGCTTCTTTAAATTTCGATGGAAGCATAGACTCCGCTCGGTAAAGAGCGTACTCCTTTTTTGGATATTGCGCTTGAACCTCTTCGAGCTGTTTATTTGTTTCTTCAAGCTGGCCCCCATCTGACTTGATAGCCACGACATTTTGTAAGGCTATAGCCCTGTGTTGTAACGTTTCATCGCGCTGCGTTAGTTCACGTAGAGAGTGCTCGGTAAGAAATAACTCGGTGGGTTTATACCGGGCGATAGAATCTAAACCGTATCGCAGATAGTCATGCTTGTCGCCTAAGAATTGAAACCCCGTGCGCTTGAATAATCCCATAACCTTAAAGTGGCTTCCAAGATTAGTATGAGAATGAGGCAAGGAAGAACTTCTTGGTAAGTACCTCTGTGACGGGAGAGACTAGGCATAAAATATGGGTTTTCAACAGAACAAGGAAAACATGAAGCTGGAAAAAATGTGACATGGTAAATAAATCATTCCTCCACTTCAAATTCCATCTGAAGCTGGGTCGGCTAGGTGACTTCGTCACCAGGCCGCTGCCCAAAGTAGGCAGTATCTAAAGTGTCTAATTGTGACGCAATTAGACCTAAGGCTAAACAAAAACACGCTGACCTTCTAAAAGATCGTACTGGTAGATATCAATAATCCGTCCACGCTCATAAACCCTAGCACAGTTGAGCCAAAGAGGGAGGATGAGATGGATACGTTCAGGGACTCATGAAAGATAGTGACAATTACCGAGATCTCCGACTCATTCCGTTCTGTATTCAAGCATCTCTTGAGCATGATCACCGGACTCGACATTCCCGTATAATTAACTACTGATAATAACTATGACATTCATACTTCGGGGCTATCATTTTCGGGGTTCTGGCCGACCGATATGGGCGGAGGTGGTCGGTGATCATTATGTTTATGGTCGTTATTCTTGAGCTCTACTCTGGGTTCTGCCCGAATATACTCGAGTTTCAAGCAGAAATAGCTCTACAATACAATTAGACTGCCCGCGCATGTTGTACGTAGATAGTTGACGATCGAATGCCAAGGAAGATAAAGAGCCCCGCAATTCACCGGAGATTCGCTTCGGGTAGTACGGACTCTGGCATTGCTCCGATCTGCTTCAAATCTGACTTCTTCTCTTCGTTGCCTTCGTGCTCGTCGTTCCTACTGTACTTTACCTCTGCATTCCGATTCTGCCGGTACCATGGCGCAAGAATCCTCTCAAGTCGCGCCCCGCTACCTGACCGGCGATAAGGCCGGCCTCCAGGAGTTCCTGGCCAAGTTTGATGTTAGCACCCGTTTTTGAGCGCATTGATGTACCGGAAGGGTCCTATTTACTGACTGAATTGTGTACAGGTATTCCTCTTCGACTGTGATGGTCTGTCCCCTGTGTTCGGTCTATTCTGGCTGTCCCTCCGCGGAGGTCCCCCGCAGCCACCCCCGCCGCGTCGCAACAACCGCTGAGACAATGATAATTTAGGTGTTTTATGGTCCGGCGACCACCTCTTCCCCGGAACAGTGGAGACACTGGAGCTTCTCCGAAACAATGGTGCGCATTAAATATCAAGTCGGCACAAGCGGAGGTTGATGATCCCCGCAGGAAAGCAAGTGGTCTTCGTGACGAATAACAGCACCAAGTCGCGCGCAGACTACCGCAAGAAACTCGAAGGCTTGGGAATCCCCAGTACAGTGGTCAGTGATACCAACCATTACCATGTCAGATCATCCAGGACCGCGTGACTCACAACCAAATAGGAAGAGATCTTCTCCTCGTCATACAGTTCCTCTATATACATTTCTCGCATCCTCCAGCTGCCCGAAAACAAGCGCAAGGTCTACGTGATCGGCGAGACAGGCATCGAGCAAGAGCTCCGCTCAGAGAACGTCCCATTCATTGGCGGCACAGACCCCGCATACCGCCGCGACGTCACACCAGAGGACTACAAGAAGATTGCAGCTGGCGATGAATCCATTTTAGACCCCGAAGTCGGTGTCGTGCTCGTCGGTCTCGATTTCCACATGAACTACCTTAAGATGGCGTTAGCATACCACTACATCAAACGCGGAGCAGTCTTCCTTGCTACGAACATCGACTCCACCTTGCCAAGCTCCGGGGCTCTATTCCCTGGTGCTGGCTCCATGAGCGCGCCGTTGATAATGATGCTGAATAAGGAGCCAATCGCACTTGGCAAACCCAGCCAGGCTATGATGGATTCCATCGAGGGCAAATTCAAGTTTGATCGTAGCCGGGCCTGCATGGTTGGTGATCGCGCGAATACGGATATCCGCTTCGGACTTGAGGGGAAACTTGGTGGTACGCTGGGTGTTTTGACTGGTGTCTCTTCTAAGGAGGACTTCGTTTCTGGCGATGTCAGGCCTCATGCATACTTGGATAAGCTTTCGGATCTGCTGGGCTCGGAGTAGAGCGGGTTGAAAGATATGTATTAGATATTCGATTTAGATATAAACGCATACAGATCAATGGATTTATCATTACGTCTGAATTTTAGCACCTTGACTCGTTTCTGGTAGTTTCAGAAAAGAATAGACGTAAAACAGCGTGAATAGAAGTACGAGATTTTCAACCCAAAAAAAAACCCCCGGAATTTCTATTGAAAGAAGTGAAACGGTGAGGCAGAAGAAGATGGTCAATCCCAAAAAGAGCTTCAAATGTTTCATTTTTTTAGGCTATTACTGCCATTCCCGCTTAGCATACCTAAAGTAACAGCTACAGTCTGCACTCTCTGTCCCTTATCGTTCTTATAGAAAAGGACCTGGCCCGACGGAAAAATCACGTAGTAAATTCAACTGTGGGATCAAGCCTACTTTTACATAGGAGCCATAAGTAGGTAACGCAATAGTTATGCAGGCCCGGTGGGGGAGTTAGACTATGCTGTACCAGCGCTAGAGTGAGGCTGACTGTTGTACTTATTTTTCGATTGGATTCCTCTTTTTGGCTTCTGGGTCATAGATCATGATACATGGCCCGCTCAATTATTCGGTCGTTCGGTCGTTCGGCTTCATCACGATATAGCCAGCGCCACATGGGTCGAAGATTGCCTTGGACTTTTTACCCAGAGAATTGCTTCTTTCTTTTCCTCTCAAGGAATTGTAACATTTGTTCAATCGGCCTTGTATCATGTGTTTCGTTGGCTTTGGGGGCCGGATTGTGGATTGTCAATACATGCACGGTAGTTCCGGTCATTGAACAGCTGGGCACATCGAATTCCCGAGACTGAAACACTTTACCAAAAGACACCCCGATCAGTCAGCTGAGCGGGTAACCCTCAACTTATCTGTTTGATCATGGAGCGTCCAGCACAGCAAGCTGGCGACCGATCGCCCCAGCAACTCGTTGCGAGGCGCTATGATGTGGAACGATCATGTCTCCGCTGCCATGAGCGCAAGGTTCGTTGTGACCGGGCCATGCCCTGTTCGACCTGTCTTCGAATAAATGTCCCTTGCCAATATCCAGGCCCAGCACGAACTAAACGTCGCTCAAAAAATTCATCTACCAGGAGGGTCAGAACCCGCCTGGGGGTGCTGGAACGAGCCACCACTGCGACCAACCACAGAGACTCCCCCAATATAACTAGTAGATCATCCTCTCTCTCGTCACAGCCACATGGTACAGATGTCAATACATCGGTTTCAACCGGCGACCATACTGCGCCGACGGAAGGCTTTTTGGTGAAAGACGGCACCTCTACTCGATATGTTAACGAGTTGCTCTTCTCGCGCGTCCTGGAGAAGGTCAGTGGACCACAAAATATTCCTCGGCAGAAACCTGGACTTACAATTACTGCAAACAGGAGAGCGAGCTTCAATCCGCCATTAGCACACCGGCAGGAACTAGCAACAGTGAGCCGAGCCCAATGATTGGCTTTGATGGCCTCATCTCCAACCCCCAATTGGCTGCCGATGCCTTTTCTCTCTTCCCATCTCGAGGGCAAGCCACACACCTCTGGCAAGTCTTCTTGAACAACGTGGACGTTCTTCTCAAAGTACTTCACATCCCGACAACGCAACCTACTGTCTTTGCTGCCATCAATAACCCGAAAGCTGCTTCAAAAGACCTCAATGCTCTTCTGTTCTCTATTTACTTTGCAGCAGTCACAAGCCTGTGCGAGGGAGTCTGTCATATGATCTTTGGTGAGGACCGGCAGTCGGTGCTCAAAAGGTTTCAGCGAGGCTTGGAGGTCTCCTTACATTCGGCTGCATTCCTGGATTCCCCCACCATTGTCTCGCTGCAAGCAATATCGATTTACTTGGTAAATCTAGCTTCCCCCTTGAGTGCACTTGGATTTCATTTAGTATGAGTGCTAACTACTCGATATTAGCTTTGTTATCGAAATCACAATTGTGGTAGATCTGGATGGACATTGAACGGCATACTTCTCCGAACAGCACAATGGATGGGTCTACACCGCGATGGAGAACGCTTTAATCTCCCCCCACTGGAATGCGAGATCCGTCGCCGGCTGTGGTATCAGATTATTGGATACGATGTGCGAGTTGGTGAAGACCATGCTCTCTCGACTAGTGGGTTTGGTGGCTTCTCCAATACGAAGCTTCCCCTCAACATAGACGACCGAGATATTTTCCCCAATATGGAAGTGGCCCCGTCTTCAAAGCCGCAGTGGACAGAGATGACCATGTTCTTGGTCGCTGCCGAGATGAATCAAGCGCTTCAACAAGTTTCTCGACTTTCCGTGGGTGTGCTCAATGGGGACGACAAAATGACTAGCTTAGAGCAGCTTTTAAGAACTACCACGGCACGCATAAAAGATCGCTATTTGCAGCATTGTGATCCTAACATTCCCATTCAAAAATCAGCACTATTGCTGGGCCAGATATTTATGGGAAAGCTCAGTGTCTTCGTTCGCCAGCAATACCTTCGAGGACTCAGTGCGGAGGAGTCAGCATCACGAGCCACTGAGCAGACGCTTTTGCTGGCTTGCGACACCATTGAGATTGGCAACGAACTAAAAACAGATGAGCTTCTCAGTAACTTCCATTGGCTCTTCTCGACGTTTACTCAATATCATCTCTTGACGTATACACTGTGGCATCTTTGTGTTCGGCCTAGAGTCCACTGTGCCGATCGAGCGTGGCAGGTGGTCGACAAGTCGTTCGATTTGGTGGAGGATCCCAGCTGGCCGAGTCCTGGTCCGAAATGGAACGTATTACGAAAGCTTCGAGAAAAGGCACTTAACATACGTTCTTTCTCGAATCCAGTTACTTCCGCGCGCATCCCAAACAATTTAGCGGTTGCCGAGATCATAGGACCTCGAGGGGATGATCTTCGGGGGGATAATCTTCGGGGAGATGCGATCCCTAGCAGCATTCTTGGGTTTGAAGATGATATGGATTGGAATTTAGATTCGATCTGCTTCCCAGATTGGAACCCGTAGGTATAACTAAACAGAAACGCTAAAACTCAGGTGTCTGACTTTTGGCCGCTGTACAGCTTTGCACTTACGGGCCAAGGATGGTGAATAGCAGTTACATAGTATTGCCTTCTTGATGAGGATATGGTATGGATTTTCTATTAAATAATGAGAGACCAAATCTCAATCTATTCATTAGTACTTCCTATCTAGAGTCAGCGTCCAAAGTTTCACTCATCGTTAGATGTCACATATCTGCTCATGCGGATGCATTGTTATAACCCAAGGCTAAACAATGAAGCTACTGAGGAAGGCTATATGAGGATATTATCTTAGGAGACAATAAAGAGGCTGGAAGGGCCAGTCTAAATGAGCAAGACACCAGAATCTCCACAACGAGGATAACACATACGGTATAAGAGTAGGTACAAATACACCATCCATGGTAAACAAAGAAATGAGAGACATCAAAAATGTTAGACGAACTCCAATCCACACATGTAAATACTTCGTTGCATAATATACATGGCATCAACCTGGCCAAATCACCTCAGAATTTCGCAACCAATTTCAGTCCGGTGTGCAGCAATCGAGTCCCGAAAACACAAGTTGTCCCAGCCAGCAGAAGAACCCCGGCAAACACTTTCATTCCAAGATAGGACCCACTGTTATAAGATAGAATAGCACCAGCAATAGGATTGGTCGTTAACCCCCCTATGGAAGCGAAGAGGAAAATCAAGCCTACTCTGTACCCGATCTGCGGCAAGGGTGATATCTTGACCACAAGCGCAGCTGCTAGCGAGACATATGCGCCTGAGCAACATCCAAAAAGAATGGCGAATACAATAGTTTCCGCGGTGCTGGTAGCCGGGATCCAAATGGCAAGAATGAATATCCCAGCTAGATAGCATACCACAGCGAACACATTGTATGTCCCAATTCGGTCAGCAATCATACCGGCTCCAAGGCGGCCAAAGAAGCTTTAGTAACACGAGTTAGTAACTATCCATAGGGGAAACAGAGGTAGTTTCATACATACCTTCCAGCATTCAGTAATGCCAGCAAGTACTTAGAAAGGTTGGTGCTGATGCCACTCGAGAGTCCCTCAACGACCAAGTAGTCAATGGGGATGTACACTCCAAAGGTCAGCAGAGTAAACCCTGCGATAACAAGAAGCATCTTTGTCTCTTTCAATGGTTGTGTTAACGCAGCCCGTGAGACTGGCCGTGGTGATGGAGATAAACGAGATCGGATCGTCAAGTTAGCGATGGTAAGGAGAAACAAGATCACAAAAGCTCCAGCACGCATCGCCCATGCAAATCCCACTTCCGAGATCAACCGCTGTATCATAATTGGGAAAATTACGCCCCCGACACTAGACCCGGTGGACATTAGGCCGTAAGCTGTGCCCCGTTTCTTGTCAAACCAACCTGGAATGACACTGGTCGCTAAAATAGTCGGCAAATATCAGCTACTATCATTTTAGTCGACATACCACTGGGAGAAGCTCTTGCCTACCGGGTTGGAAGATGATTGAGACTCCAATGGCGCTACATACACCTTGTGAGAGCAAGATCTGATAGTATTTCGTCGAGATAGAACACATCATCAGACCGAAGACGTGAAGAAGCGATCCGAACAGGACTGAATAACGGGGTCCATAGTTGTCGTACAAATGGCCAGACACGGGGCCCTAGTTGAGAAGGAATAGATTAGCAATGGAGCACAAGGGGGAATAATGCATGGGGAAGACCCTACCATGGCGTACATGAAGAATATCTGCAAAGATGGAATCCAAGCGATTGTGCTAGCTGAAAACTGGCTCAGTAGAGTCGACTCGTAGTAATTTTGGAAAACTCCAACACCTGTCACTGTCAATATGGTACAAAGGCCAGTTGAATTTCTCGGCACGTACTGTTGATCCATCCAAAGGTGCAGAACAGCACACACCATGATCCTAGGACCACAGACCAAGCAGCCAGTCCACCATCAGGGGCCTTGCTCTTTTTCCATTCCGGGATCACTTTATTTTGGATTCCCTTTTCCGAGTCTGGGCTATTTGTGGCATTTATCTGAGAGGGAGCATGTGTTTCTGTAGGGGTACCATCCGTCCACATTCTGTATTTCCGGATAATTCCAGGCGATAACGGAGCAGCCTCTTTTTTTTGGTTTGAATTTCTTTTGGATTTAGTGATATCCAACTGACGCCTTAGCTTGGGTAATATAATGCTCTGGGTGGATGTGGAAACCCGAGAAATATGTATACTCCCCGTTCGGCAGTTCGTTTCAACAGCCGAACGACCGAACGGCCACTTCAGACTTCCAAGATTAACTGAGATCTCTAGCACAAGCCCCGAGAGATACCAGGACCTAACAGAATACTCCTCGCCAAATTAACCACAGATCTCTAAGATAGTGTTGGGGTTTGGGGATGTGACCACTCCGAGGAGTTCGACATTTCCTCTATTCCCTTCTTCCTCTTTATGCCGCACACCACTGAGACCCTGGTATATTATTATTCCTTCTTTCGAGTAGCCAATAACTAGTGTGAGCGATATATTGGATATATCTTTCCTTGTCTCGGGAAAATAGTCGTCAGTCCCTGTACTCTTTTTATTCACTTGTTTCACCTTTATTATTCACATATACTTGTCGCTCTCGCCAATGATTTGCGGTACAGGGTTCTTTTAATTGAAATGTCTGCATGAAAGATATGGATAATTGAATGACCTCACGTTTGACCAGGAGTATAATTTACAGTTGGTGCCGGCAGGTGTACGAAATGCATGATTCACAAAGGCCTGAAGAATTTGACCAGTGATAGTACTTGGTAGATTGACGAGCTAAATCTCAACTTTCTCCAACTTTCCACATTAAAGTCAAAGACAAAGCCCTGAGTACATTCCTTTAGCGCATCCCTCAGCAGAGGGTTTGCGTGAACCCACTCAAGCTCTCCTTTCAGATTCTCTTCAATCCTGCGGTGTTCCCAATCTATGTCAGCCCATTTTTCCTTCTACTCGAAAAGGCCGAAGGGATAATCTTACCCCGAAACCGCGCCAAATTCCATCTCCTCAATCTTGGCCCAGTGTGTCTCATTGGTTTGTTTCTTCAAGGCAGCTCGCACCTGCTCGTCCGTGAAGCGCAGAGTGCCGCAGTCGGTATGGTGGACAATGGCTATCTCATTAAGCTTGACTAGTGCATCCAGAATTAGGATATCTCGGAGGACATGGCGGATGTTTCCTCCAGCAATCCTGTGGACAACAACCTCTGGAAATATGTCAATGAACCGCTTTTTGGTTGCTCCTAGGCCTGAACAATTCCACGTACCTCAGAAGTTGAGATTAAAGAATTCTTCGGGAACGCATCGGGGGTCACAACAGGTAACTAGCATGGAAATAGATGTTAATAAATTTCGATAATGGCAGCCTTGAGTTATGATTACCGATCATAGTGCGAGGTGGAGCTCTACCATGTCCCTTTCTCTCTGCGATGTAAGGGAGAGGTGTATGATTGACAGCTCTGTATAACATTTAGATTAGTTGAAAACCAAGGGCAAAGGCCAAAAGAGCCGGAACATACTTGTTTCGCTCCAAGAGACTCGCAATAGTAGTTGTCATGTTTTTGAAGGTAGGTTGTAGAATTTGACGATACTTCGTTCAACTGTTCGATCCGAACTTGTAAAACCACCGGGCTCTTATATACCCAGACTGCAAATGACACTGTTGATTATCAAGCTGGCACTGCCAACTAAAGGATGAAACGGCGAGTGGGTCTGCTAGGGTGCGCGCGATGCTCGGGCGTCACAACGACTCGGTAAGGAATTCGAGGTCTTAAGTGTTCAACGTTCGGTACAAATTCTCATGCATAGAGCTATGTGTACTGTTATAACCCCCCGAGGTGTTCAGAGACCTGGCTCGGAGCTATGCCGAGGTAACCGGCCCCAAGGAGAAGGAATCTTATTATTTTGCCCCCCGGGTCACCGAGTCCAACATTCGGGAGTTTGAGTAGGTAAATGTAATTTTATGAATGAACTTGAAAGGTATAAAAGAGTCATTGGAGTCAGTCTCCCATGCATTGGAAAATACCAAACAGTACAGTGGAAATCATCAATCATGCCGGAATAGAACCAAGTTATTGTCTTCGGAGACCTTACATGCGACTAAGTGAGCGGTCTAACCTCTCTGGTTGCCATCAAGAGCAACCCACTTCTCACACCATTCTTCGAGCGAGTCACCTTCGATCTACGAGAGGAGATCGGAACGCTTCCGGTGCATGAACGTACCAGATTTCCCAGGTTTATCACCTTCCAAGAGCTTCTCGCAAAGACCCAGAGATTACCATACACCCCTCCGGTCCTAGAGACAGCATTAGAAGGAAGTACCCAAATGGCTCATTCCACACTTTGAAGCCTGTGTTAACAGCCTTCATAACTACCACGCCACACCATTCGTACCTAGCGTTGATGCTCCGAAAACGCAGATTATCTAGGCCTGTGATACCATCGACAAACATCTTGAGCCAAAGTTTGAAGCAAGAACCGATGATCCGGAAGGTTTGAAAGAAATTCCTCACGGTGGAAAGAGAGGATTTCGGCCCGGCGGATTGGGACTCTCTCTTGCCCGGGACAAACATAGCCTTGTCTCGGATTGACGGGGCTAATTATTGATGCAAAGCGAACACGCCAAGCGACTGGGAGAGAAAATTCAGGGATTTTTGATGAGTGGCTGACGTATATTATGTAGTTCTCTATAAATGGGAACTCATTGAATGCATCGATAATTCCTTTTCGCTGATACATAAGTTGAACAATCATAAACCTCGCCTACATTTTAAAGACAGGAGTAGGAACCAGGGTCGTCAAGTATAGTATAGTTATTTCCATCCAATTCAATGCTTAGCATGTTCTATGGAGCTGTTAGCACCACCTTGTCTGAGTACAAGTACAACTGTTACATTAGTTTCATCCACACACAACACTCATATTAAGATTCCATGTCTACATATGTATCCTTCAAGCCTTTACAGATGAAAGTCGAAAATAAATTGCCTTACGCAACATATGAACTTCGCGTACGTTAACCCAACCTTTTGAAGCTTGCATAAGCCGTAAATTACATATTTGACGTAATTTTCGGTATATTACAGGAAACTTTGAGATACACACGACTTTGCTCCCCCTCTGCTCCCTGCGCTGGTTTGGATGAGGCCATGACCAAGCGATACCGCAGATTCCGAAGAAACTGTCCCCATCTACTGCTACCCCTTTGGTCATGAACTCATCCGCAAAGCGCCCTGGTCGCCTCGGAGGCACCAAGTCCAAGACCGGGTGCGACACGTGCAAGTCAGTTGGCCCCCAAGAACTTAATTAGTCGCTATATTTGACATTCGATTCGCAGAATTCGCCGTGTAAAGTGTGGCGAGGAGAAACCACACTGCGTGAGATGTACCAGTACAGGACGCCGGTGCGAATATAGCATCAGTCCTCTAAAGACTATTGGGCGGCCCCAGCTGGAGCTCACGACCTTCACATGTCAGAGATCGCGAGAGCGTCGTGCTTTTGAATATTATTTCCACAAAGCTGGCCCATCACTTTCAGGAGTCCTGGACCAGGCCTTCTGGAGAGGCTCAGTCCTCCAAATCTGCCGGGTAGAACCGCTTGTTTGGGATGCGATTATCTCGCTCAGCGCGCTCTACGAACGACCTCCCATTCATGAGACGTCACCCTGGTTGCTTCTAAATGATCCAGCTGTGGTACGACATCAGTACCATCGCGAAGCGTTGGTCTGGTACTCGCGTTCGCTGGCGCTCCTACAGCAACGTATTGATCAGGGCACAGCAGACCTGGTGGTGGCCTTGATCAGCTGCATTCTATTCATTGCTATCGAGCTCTTACAGGGGAGCCGCAGAGGTGCTCAGGTCTTGTACAAACAGGGTGCGCAATTGATTTTTGGTGCTTCGTCAACATCAACCTCGACCATCGCCGCCCTCGAGCCCATCTTCCGCCGCTTGGGAACGTGGGTCTTCATCACCAATGGACTATCAGAAGAAGCCTGGGGTCTTCATTTGGCTGTTCCAGACGAGCGCTTCACATCGACCGAAGAGGCAAGGAATGTTCTGTGTAGCATTGTAGCCGAAATGAAGGCCCTCGACATTGACTCCAAAGCTTATATACGCCGACCAACAGATGGCCAGCTGCACGAGATGTCAGGGCTGGTGGCCAGACAACAGCACCTGAAAACCCGACTCGTTGAATGGTACCGCCTCTTTACATATTTGCAATCTATACATGGCTCGAACATCGACGGAGCAACTGCGCTTCTTCTAATGACATATACGAGCGTCTTCATCGAAGCAGAAGCCATGCTGAATTTCGATCAAGGTGTATACGACGCCTATGAATCTGAATTCGCCCAGATCATCGACTTGGCTCCCACCGCGGTTGCATGGACACGCAGCTCGGAAGGGGAACAACCGCCGTTTATGTTTGAAATGGGCGTATTCCTCCCACTCTTCATCACAGGACTTAAATGTCCCTTCCCCGAGCTACGCCGACAGGCATTACGGTACATGTCGGAGGCTCCCCCGGCACAAGGGCTGTTTATGTGCACCCCGGCCGCTCATATCATGGCCATTCTCATTGGGCTAGAGGAGAACCCGGACCACCTGCCAGGAAAGGTCTCTGAAGTATATGAACTGCTAGCCAAACCGGGGCATATCCCACCAGCTCGGTATCGCACATGTGATTTCAGTGTGTCGTCAGTTAATGAGGAGGGTAAGACGCGGAATTGGCTGAATTATACACTTCATCACTTTGATGGAGAGGGGAGGATACAGGTCATAGAGAAAAGGGTACTATTCCCTACATGAGATCATTGGCATAACCATATTTTATATAGTAATACGATCTTAACGTGATATCGATTCCCTGAGCTGCCTGGCAGATCAAAGTATGCCTTTGTAATTCAATAGCAACATTCAACCTGGTACGATTATTTTGAGGCCCTTATTGCTTCATCGGCATCAAAGAGAGGCTTACCAATTCACAGAAACTTCGAGAGCTTCTTTTTCCTTGGTTTACTTGTACCACTTTATTTCAAATGACATGAGTCGCATTCGAAATCATTGCTCTAGGTTGCTTTGCAAAGAGTATGAATTTTCAAAGGTTTATTTATACACGTCGTCATTCAGGACCCAGCTTATTCGGCATCATATGAACCCAGCGATGAAGGAGCTTCGAGGTCAAAGTCATTCAATTCCAACCAAATATTGTAATTCGATGCAGCCACGAATTCGAGGGACTCGGGGGTCAAAACCGAAATTCCATCCAATGTGTTCTCGGTATCCCATATATTCTCCCCAAGCTGATGAAAGACAGATGAGTATTCCACGTTCTCTTTATTTGGTGCATCACCCTCTACTTGATTTTCGGCGACGGAATGAGTCTCAGCTGCTGGATGGGTGGTAAGAACGGATGACTCAGTGTGTGTTGAAAGTGAATTGTGCATGAGAATGACTTCAGTCAGGATGTCTACAGCCTGGAGCAACTTTTCCGAGCATCTGTGATGAAACTGTTCCGGGTTGAGTCCGTCAATGGTATCTCGATGGGGGCTCGAAATGTCTTTCGTAGAACGTAGCTCGAGCTGTTCTGAAGGGTTTGGAGGTAACATTTCCATCCATAGCCCGACTTCATTGTCCACACTGTGTAAGGAGCCTTCACCAGCACGTCCTTTCTGCAGACTGGTACATGGAAACGCCAAGCTTTGAGGCTCGCTTTTCCTTTTCCGTGGTGATGCATCGGCGGTATTTGACTGGACGTCATTGCACTTAGTGTCTGGTATTGTGGGATGTTGTGATACATGTGGTGATTGTGGTGATCGTGGCGTTTTATCTGCCCTAACTTCGCCAGGAGTATATGGAGTCGGGGCTGTTGTCCTTTTTCTCCTTTGCGGCGGAGGAACGCATTCCTTCATATTATGTCTGCAATTGGTGCAAGATGTGCCTTGGTTTAGTGCATCACAACGCACTTTTCGTTTGTGGCAGGCATAACAAGCCCATTTGGCTCGCCTTGGCCGGAATTTCTTTTCGACTCGTTGGCATAGCATTCCCTCGTTCCCACCGGATTCTTGGAGCGTATGTTCAAAACGGTATTCGGTACCCATGGTGTCTCTCGATGTTTGTCACTGATCTTCCCTGAAACTCTTTCAACGAATGCACTTGGAATTTGTGCATTCCTTCTCAATACACTCTATGAGTTTGGTTTATTAGCGGGGGTGTAGGCTCGTTCTTGTTCTTCGGCACTCGGGAGCCGAGTGCCGGGATCTGTTTTTGATCTCTTAATATCGCCGAAACGCCGAGGTGTCATCATCGGCATGACGAAATAAACAGTGGACTTTCTCGGTTATTATACCCTCAATGTTGTTGGTTGCGCGGTGTTGCTGTTAAAGTGCGCAATGCGTACCTAAGGGGGAATACCGTACGATATATATCGGCGCATTCGGCACATTCGATGACAAGACACCTTTCATATGGACAGTGATACCTTTCAAGCAATGCCAGCTGGGTCCCACTTATATATTACAGACTCCTAGTCACGGGATATATTAATATCATCAGTATACCCGAGGCAAGTGGGATCTTCCATGGCGATGTCCAGTTCCACCCCTCGGCTCGGGGGCCTTGACTGAGTGGAGTCCTTATGCCCCCGCATTTCCTAAGGAATATGTATGATGCGCCGGGGTCGTGGCTATCCCCAAAGCCCTAAGAACGACAGAACTGGTCATCATTGATATACCAGCTTGTCAACAAGTAGGAAGCTCCCTCAAAGCCCAAGGCATTCAATTGAGTGAAGGTTCATTCTACGACTCGATAAAGTCAAAGTCACTATTCATGCGCCATTTAGGGCTTGATTGTTGTTTCCCCCTCGCATCCTAAAACTCGAGTCTTCGGTTGAAGAAAAGTAACTCCTTATAGAATGACTTACCGCATGAGGATATCGCCATCCCCATCGGGAAGAGCGCTAGCTAGAGCAGCAACAAGGATCCTCTATGTCGATAGGTTAGTTATGGTGCAAAAGGTCCTTCTAGAATCAATACGCACGATGTCTATTTGTTCAAGGAGGCTGGTTGGGTCGATATTGCAGTCCTTGAGAACATCATGTCAGCAATTAACTAAAGAACTTGTCCTGGGAGGTGTTTTGTACGCGGGAAAGTGTCTCAATGGCAGATCTCCAAAGGGCGAGTAGTGGACAACTCCGTTGAAGGTGTCTGGTGTCGTGGCAGAGGTAACAAGTCAATGTGCTGCTACTCTATAATATGACATTTTCTTGTCAGTGATTGGCCCAAAGGATCTATTCTCAAACTAGCATATACAATATGAGAGTGACACGAAGAACAAAGATGGGAAGGCAGAATGAATCAGATGCAGTGTAAATATCATCAAGTACACTCTCTAGGCTAATGCTGGGGTATTGATACAGCAGTGGGGAGCACATGTTTTTGTAACGTATAGCTTACCTGGTGGTGGTGTTGGCTTTGGTGCTGGTATTGTTGGATTCGGTAGTGATGCTGTTGTCTATCATCATGACCAGCTCCTTGGTTAGCTCTGCCAGCACGATGGGAATCGCGACTATATCCAGGGCGCACTCTGGCAGGGTAATTAGAGTCCATATTAAAATGAGCAAAAATATGAGTTCTGATAGAGAACCAGCAGAATATGTTGAGTGTCAAGACCTGGAAATTCCACGCTTTTGTCAGGAGATGAAAGTTGGTGGACAATGAGAATTAAAACGAAGCAAACTTCTAAATCTAATGGTTGGTTTTAAACAGAGTAAGAGAGAGATGAGCTCTACTCTCCTATGGTTCTCCTTTACCTGGCTTTTTGTTTTATGTTGTTCGTATTTATTTCTTGCTTTATTACTGCTGAAATGAAAGAAGGACTAGGAACGAACATGAATGCGCATAATTATTGTCTATACTTTAGAGGAATTTACCTCTCACCATGCAATGTTGTTTATTGGCGCCAGTAGTTCGCGCAAAAAGAAACGTGGAAGGGTATCATGATCATTCCATTCGAACAAGATCTGAGTGCTAAGAAAATCCGAATATAACGCCTCGAACATGTAGGCCGTCCTTATCCTGAACGCCATCTTTATTTTCAATCAAGTATTCGGGGAGTTACTGCTGACTAGGAGGGTCACCGAGATTTGACAAAAGAATGCCTCTCAATCTCCACGCAGGACTCCTGCAATGCGTAATGCAAGGTCCAACATGGAGAGATGCTCATCGGACCCGTCAACCAGTCGCTTGTCCATCTCCGAGAAGAGCATGACAATCTTGTTTTTCTGGATATCGGGGATTGCTTCGTTGAACACTACACGTCGGTATAACTAGAAGAGGTCAGCGAGACGTATCGAGAACGGGAAGAGAAGAAGCACAAACCTGTCCAACAAGCTGCGTAGCACTCCAGCCATCAGCCACAAGGTCCGTAATCACCCCCGAGACAGCCTCGTAGACTGACCCACCACTCTTAGGCTGCATAGCCTCCACAAGAGCATCCAAAATATCCTCCGGCAGCACACCAGCAATTTCCTCAATGCTCCGAACCGTGATAATACTAGAATTGCTACCAGCATCCGTCATCTCAGCATCATCATCAGCATCCTTCACAGCAGGCGGCTTGGTAGCACCGACCAACCGCGCCGCACTTTGCATATACGTGATAGCACGACGCAAATCACCTTCACCACACCGGATAAGCGTATCAACAACCCCATCCTCAAGCTGCAAACCCTCTTGCTCCGCAATATTCGAGATCCGCTCACCAGCAGCGCTATTATCCAGCATCTTGAATCGGAACTTGCTGCATCGACTAGCGAGCGGCTCGATAATGCGCGTGACGTAGTTACAGACAAGACAGAACCGTGTGATCCGACTGTATGTCTCCATCGTGCGGCGCAGCGCGGACTGTGCGTCTTGCGTCATACTGTCTGCCTCGTCGAGGATGATGATCTTGAATGGTGGGCATGGGTACTGTGCGCGGTAGGCGGCATCCAGGCCGGTTGGTTGGGAGAGCTGGGCTCGGGCGAAATTCTTCACTTTCTCGCGAACGATGCCAATACCGCGTTCGTCGGAGGCGTTCAGTTCTAGGATTCGGGAGCGGTAGAGGGCGGGCCCGAAGAGGGATTTGGCGAGGGCGAGGATTGTGGATGTTTTTCCTGTGCCGGGCGGTCCATAGAAGAGCATGTGGGGGAGCTAGTTGGTGTTATTTTATTGTTCCAATTGTTCAGGGCTGGGTGGTTTACATTTGAAGCTTGCAGAGTGCGCTGCAAGACTTTGGTTGTGTGGTCTTGCGCAGCAACATCATCCAGGGTCTTGGGACGGCTAATCAATATTAGTTAAATGCTCGGTGAGCTCGACATGAAGCATTGACTTACTATTTCTCAACCCACGGCTGGAGCCGAGTCGAGTCTTCCTTGTTGTCACCACCTTTAGACTTAGAGCTGCTAGATGCTGCGGCGGCAGCGGCACGAGCCTTATTATTGAAAAAGGAAGCAGCCATTGTTGTTGAATAGCCCGGAATCAGCAACGTCAGGGTTATCTCGAGAGCTGGTCTGCGATGTGTTGAAGATCTCTCTCTGACGCCCTCCACAATCGAGACGCGTCTCCACGTGACACGCGCAGCACTTAAACTCACTGACCAATAAGAGCAGCTCACTGCTTAGGTATACTTCAACCCCATCATCACCTTCGATGACGGTCTTATAAACTACAAAGATCAAGGGTTGCAAAGTTCATGACTGCATGGTATCTCATTAATGCTTGGATCAATATCTATAGCTCGTCTCGCACCGGCTCCTCCATCCCGGCCTCGAACATCCGCTTTTTGGTATTCCGGGGAAGCTCTGCCTGTCTTGCCCTCTCCTCCGGGGTGACATCGTCAATGTCTACGCTTGTTTGTTTCTCTTGCTCAACCATGTCACCAATTTTGTCAATTACACGATCGCTGTCGATCGGTGCTGACGGCTCTTGCTCCCAGGCAGTGATACTGGCTGTCACGGTTCCTGTTGTAGCCGCCGTGGCCGTTTGATGAATCGCCGTAGAGATATCCCCTGCGAGGGACTGAGAATCAGACTGCACAGCTGTAGTGGAGAGCCCGACTGCACCTAGTGTTGCAAACGCGACCCGGCCGATGAGCTTCAAGGGCAGCCATACAAGCCACCAAAGAGGCCCATAGAAGACACGTCGAAATAGAAGCCAGCCAATTGTTGCAAGAAGAACATAGAAAGCAGTCTCAAGGTACCACGTGTCGGACTTTTGGGAGCGGAGAAGGGAGTTAGCCAGGCTGCGGGACGAGGAGAGAAGTGTATCAAGGCCGCTATAGGACTCGGACAGAGATGATATTGCGGCTGTGGATTGCTCTAATGGGGGGTATTAGCTCCCGGTATGATCAGGTAAAAGGAAAGAAGTACCCACCAAGGGTCGATTGGGCAAATTGGCTGCGGGAGAGCTCCGCCTGCATGAGTTGATGGGTTCTGCGCAGCGCAGACGTCACGTCGTTCGAGGCATTCAAAACAAGATCATCCTGAGTAAACTTCTCTGTCGGCTGCTTCTTCTTGGAGTGCGATCCCGACAGCAGCAACTCTCTCTCCTTCCGCTTGGCGAGTTCGGCATTCCGCTTCGCTTGTAACTGGGCGGTTCGGAATTCACCTCGTGTTCTGGGGGGTCGATTAGCATATGCTGAATATTTAAAGACTAGCCAGTGGACCATGACAAGGAAATCCCCCCGGCATGTACAAGTCGTCTAAGAGTCTAAGGGTGTCTTACCTCTTGAGCTCCTCAGCCAATCGCCCTACCATCGAAATGACCCGCTCCCTCTCAGCCTCCTTCTGCCCATGGACAGCAGGGGCCTTGCGCCTGCTATCTGAGCCAGTTACCAGCGCTTCTACCTCCACACGCACCAGCTCTAGCTCTTGCTCGGCTTCCTTCAGTTGGGAATGTATTTCACTCCCAAGCTCCAGGCGGGCTTCATCACCCTGTCCGATAGAAGCAGTAAAATCGCGCAATCGATCCACGAGGGGTTGAATTTGTCCCAGGGAACTTGAGAGCTCTTTCATGCGGCCCTGGAGGGCTGTCGTGGGGGACATCTTGCGATGAGAGTATTGTTTATTCGATGTGATGCATTCAAGTGCTGTCTGTTCGGGGAACTGAATAAATGTTTTTAAAAACAGATACTAGCGGAGAACAGACTGAGAGATTTGAAGTAATAAGTTGCTTTAAAAGTGTCGAGTTGTTCAAGTCAAAGTTGCCATGTAGACGGGCGTCATTTGACGTTGTGTTTGCATCTGAGTCAAACATGCCCCATTCCTTCAACCGCAATTCGCAACGGAGACTTTGGCATGGTTAGAACTTCCAATTGAGCTTGCGCCATTACCTGTCAGACTTGTCGCAGACCAACTGAGATCCACGCAATATTCTCCTTGGATCAATCTTCTACCGAGAGTCATCTGTCCAACCGCCGCAGAACCAACCCCAGCAAACACCATCTTTGAAAAACTTCCCGCTAGCCCTCATCTACTTCGGTATGCAACAATACAACCAAGGCAGAGCTACGGGATATAATTCCCTTGAATGATCAAAAATTAATCAATTCACCAGTCCGCAAACCCTCCCCGCCTCTCCCACCACCAACCCCAACCCGCAACAATGACCATCCCCATCGCCACGATAACCACCTTCCGGACCGCCTACAACCCCTTCTCCCGCGCATCCCGGCCATGCCGCCTGTTCCTGGGCATGCTGCGCACACCAGACACTATCCCAACAAGCAGCCCGACCCACATCGATATTCAGGTCAAGCAATTGCCGCGCAACTCCACCGAATCACCGACCATGACTGTCGGGTTTAAGGGCGGCAAGGAGCTTACGCTGGATGTCGGAAAGCGCGGGCTTAAGATTGGCGATGTTATCGAGGAGGTGTCCCGTGTTGGCAGAGCTCTGCAGCGGGAGGCCAGCTTGAAGAACTAAGGGAAAGTTATATTGTTCGAGTTGTGCATTCGTGTATTATATTACCTATCATTTGTTTCATCTGACGATTTTTGGCGCTGCTGGGCATGTCGGAATACTTGAATTATTCTTACTTTGGTAGAGAACATAGACTCTTTGTATGCTTCATACCTAACAATGGGCTTAGTGGAGTAGATTTGAAGATCTTGCACAATGGTGTTGGATTCGGCGACTGTTTCATTGCTACGTATCCAGTTGCCCATATTTGCATTCTGCCCATGAGAGGCTACGTTTCTCTACGTCGTGGTGGTAAGAATAAGTATTGGGAACAATTCATTCACAATTCAAAAATGGGTCCTGTCCTCGGGAAATCGAAGAACGTAATCTCCACCAGGTAGACGATCATAGGCTTGAAAAGTTTGGTTAGTTTTATATTTCTTTTGCCGAAAATACTATTTATACTGCGGCACCTGAGATGAAGAACCACTTGTCAATGCTGCCATCGATGGGAGCAGGGGGCAGAGTCTCGTTGCGGGGAATGGCAGCGAGCTGAGCCTGGTCAACACGGTCGGCAGATCCCTCAACAGTGGAGTTGGCACTGGTGCTGGTTAGCTTCAACATCCTAAAATAAAATAAAAACCGGATATATGTATATGTAGAACTCACAGGCTGATCTCGCCACGGGCGGTCTTGCCGGAGACAAGCTTCTCCCAGGCATCGGAGCACTCGCGGATGACATCCTCGGCGTACTTCTTGTTCTTGCACTCGCCGGAGAAGGCGAACTGGTTCTCGGGCTTTCCGTCGGGGATCTTGTAGATGCGGAACCACTCGTTGGTGGCGCGCATGAGGCCGGGAAGCTGGCGCTCAACATCCTCAATGTCGTTGAGCTTAGGAGCAAGAGGATCGTTGACGTCGATGACAATGATCTTCCAGTCGGTCTCCTCCTCGTCAATCAGGGCCATAACACCGAGAACCTTGACCTGCTTGACCTGGCCGGTGTAGCCGACAAGCTCACCAATCTCGCAAACATCGAGGGGGTCGTTATCACCCTTGGCCTTGGTCTCGGGGTGGATGGAGTTGGGGTCTTCCCAGGTCTGGTTCGTAACATGTCAGTTTCTTTTTTACCCCTCTTCCTATCCACGGGTGGGTGAGGGAGGTCCAAAACTTACGCGGGGGAAGGCACCGTAGTTCCAGAGGTAACCCTTGTGAGGGAAGCAGTTACGGACGAAGCGGAGCTTGCCCTTCTTGGTGTCCTGCTTGATGGGGTTGAGGAAATCATCCTTGGAGATCTGTTCATCATGCGATCAGCATTGGTGGGGTCAATTGAAGTATTGTGTTGTCGTACCTCCTGCTTGGCATTGGTCCAGCGGGGGATCTCAACGACCATGTTCAGGATGGTCTGCTGCTCGTTGGCGTAGAGAGGAATGTCGTGGAAGGGAGAGACGGGGACGCCATCCTTCTCAACGAACACACGGTGCTCGAGAGTGTATGGGGAACCGATCTTGCGGATGGAGTAAGACATTTTGGGTGAAGCGGACGAAAAGTGTCTAGATACTTGGGCCGCACGGGATAAGGGAGAAGAAAAGGAAGAAGAGGAGGAAGAGAGAGGGGCAGTCAAAGTGGGGGGAGCCAGCGTTGCTGATGTGCGCCAAACAGAGCGGGAGGCGGTGGAGGTAGCACTTCCCAGTCGGGCCAAGGGAGGACGAGTCATTGGCTGTGTTGGATATGGGTTTAATGTCTTTTTGTTTTTGTTTTATTTAGTATTTCTGATACAACACTTGAAATTGTACCTTTAATCACACGGGTATAAGTTCAATGTTGTGATGCGTGCCGGTGTTACCCCTTTGACTGTGTCGGAGGTTCGAATGAAAAAAAAAAAAAAAAAAAAAAAAAAAAACATGGCGATTCCGAAAGTCGGCATGTTCATTGATCAACCCGAATTAGATTGATATCCCGACTGATCTCGTCAATTGCGGATGTACAGTGTATACAGCTGAAGTCTCGTGCTCTCACTACGTATTAAGGCATATTATAACATACATGTAGGTACATGTACGCTATATCCTTTAACTATTTGGTAGAATGTGCACTGCATGTACATACCCGGCCCCATGCTGTCAGACACGCCGATGTCGGCAGTACACGCGGCCTATAGATCAATTGCAATTGTGTTCACTTCAATTGTAGAGCATTATGATCTTAGAATCATGAAACCTTCAGAAAAATCACAGACAAACACATTCAATGTTCAGAGTAGGACATGTCGTGATCCTTGGCAGAGAATAGAGCCTAATCATTGGTTGCTTTGATCTCAGTGGCCTTGGAAATATTACTTGGTAGCTACTCAAAAAGTATCATGATGATTTAAATTACATCAATACATGAAATTTAATGACCACCTTGCCCTGAAAAAAAAAAAAAAAGAGAGTTATCGCCACTATCTTCACGTGATTCAAACTTTCTATCGGGAGTCCCTCCGACCCAGAGAAAAAAAAAGACCGCTCTATACTCCTCTCCCCGCAGCACCTCGGAATGCTATGATCAGAACTCTCCGCAAGACAATGGCAACCCTCGCAACCACAACTGCACCTGCCCCCGCGCCGGCCGTTGTGCCGCGCGTGCCCATCCCCGTCAAGGGCGTCGACTACCGCAATAAAATCGTCCTCGCGCCAATGGTCCGATCAGGCGAACTACCCTCCCGTCTCCTGGCGTTGAAATACGGCGCCGACCTCGTCTGGGGCCCCGAAACAATTGACCGCTCCATGATTGGCGCCGAGCGACGCGTGAACCCACGAAACGGCACCATCGAATTCACTCGCATGCCCAGCAACGGCGGACGCCCCAACAAACCAGTCAAGGAATCAGTCATCTACCGCATCAACCCAGCGCGTGAAAAAGGCCGACTAATCTTCCAACTTGGCACGGCCAACCCGAGGCTAGCAGTGGCAGCGGCGCGTGTCGTGGCCGACGACGTCTCAGGCATCGATGTCAACTCAGGCTGCCCGAAACCCTTCTCCACAAGCGGTGGCATGGGCGCCGCTCTCCTCCGCACCCCCGACCTCCTCGTCTTTATCCTGGAAACCCTCGTCAAGGAAGTCGGCGAACCCTACCAAATCGGCATCTCGGTCAAGATTCGCATCCTCTCCAAACCCGAAGAAACAGAGGCCCTTGTCTCCCGCCTTGTGAAGACAGGCATCACAGGCTTGACGGTGCACTGTCGCACTACTCCTATGCGACCACGCGAAGCCGCAATCCGTGACCAGCTCCCAATGATAGTGCGCATTTGTCACGACGCTGGTGTGGCGTGCGTGATGAACGGCGATGTGACTTCGCGTGATCAGGGGCTTGCACTGATGGAGGAGTACGGAGTTGACGGTGCGATGATCGCGACCTCCGCGGAGACTAACTCGTCTTGTTTCCGGACTAAGGAGGATGGTGGCCTCGCGCCGTGGCGGGAGGTCGTCTACGAGTACCTGTGCTTCTGTATCGAATCCGAGAACCGTCTGGGCAATACCAAGTATCTGCTTAATATGCTGATCCCCGGCAAGGACAAAGAGTTCAAAGATACGAAGCTGTCTAAGACGTATCTTGATATTTGTCGCGGGTTGAAATTCGATGATTTGCTTCCTGCTGCTGCGCGTCTTGATCAACTGCTCGGTCTCGATGATAAGTGGGAGGTTGCCCCCCATGTGACCTATCTACCGACCCCGTCTGGACTTCATACACCCACCCAGTCTGAACCTGATACAACCCCCCAGTCTGAACCTAAGTCTAAGGCCGTGCAGAATGCTATGGAGTCTGAGACTGCTCGTGCGGCTGGCGGCGGTGCTGTTCGGACTAAGACGCCCTTGCCAACTGTTCATGGGGGTGGTCCCATTCGACGATCTTCTGCTCCTCAGCCGGCTAAGGTTACCCAAGTCGATGCTGAGCAGCCAGCTGTTGAAGCTCCTATTCTTGCTGCAGAGACTGAGGCTCCATCTCAGGTGACGGCGTAAATATTGCTTTGCGCCTTTGATTCCATTTATCGTCTATCATTGCTTCCTTTCGTGCTCTTTTCTCGGCCCACATGCATAGCCCTCGGTTCTTTTTCTCGCTTAATTGTTCCTTTTGTCTTGCTCATCTTCGCATTCTGAGGTGTTTTTGATTGCTTCCATCTGTTCTGTCCAAAGATTATTCCCCAACTTACATATCTCGTGCTCATCCTTGAATGACTAGTCTAGTACAATACATGTCACTTTACGCTTTACAAAAATAATGCACTAAATCGATGACAGTTGGATTTTTAATCCTCTAATCTAACAAATGATATGCAATTCCGGAGAATCGCCATGATATTGACCCCACTAAACACCATGTACTCACTGTGCCATGTCCGGCAAGGTATTAAATGCATCATCTGCATCGCCATGCAGACCCTCGCAACAGAAACTCCAGTGTACCCTTTTTTTATGTCTTTCATTTTTCGGTCTTTTCTTTGTGCTCATTCAATTCTTTGCCTTCACCTGCAGCTCGGCCATCATCATTCCCTCGACGACCTTCATGCCGGCCTCCTCGCCCTTCCTGGCGCCAGCCTCGTCCTCTCCAGCGACGGCCTGGTCAAGTGCCAGCTTGGTCTGGCCCAGTGCGTAGATCTGTACCTCAATGGTATGCTTGGTGACCAGACGGTAGATTTCGACCTCGCGGGTCTGGCCAACTCGGTGGGCCCGGTTCTCAGCTTGCACATCTTCCTGTGGGTTGAAGGAAGAGTCAAAGATGACCACACGGTTGGCACAGGCCAAGTTGATACCGGCACCACCGGCCTTGGTGGACAGGAGGAAGACGGGGATCTCGGTGCGCTCGTGGAAGGCGTCGAGAATGGATTGGCGGTCCTCGACGTTGGTGCGACCATCCAGGCGGACGAACTCGATTTTCAGGGTTTCCAGGACGTGCTCAAGAATGTCCATGACCATTGTGAATTGAGAGAAGATGAGGGTGCGATCGCCATTGGCAATGAAACGGGTGAGAAGTTCTTTGAGGTGCTCCACCTTGCCAGAGTCCATCCATTCGTTGTTCTTGAGCTTGAACTTTCCGAGGGAATTGGGGTTTTCCACACACATGTGGTGGCACTCGAAATCGTTGTATGGCTTGAGCTCCTCAAGAATGATCTTGGGGTCGGATAGCGACCACTTGTCTTCCTTCAAACAGGCCTTGGCCATCTTCTGCAGAATCTCATCGGTGTAGTGACGACGTGCAAGGAGGGGGTGAATAGCGGCCTGGCGCAACTTCATCAGAATGTTGGCGGATTTCGAGCCAGTCTTCTTTCCAGCGGCGCGATCTTCCAACAGCTGGCGCACTTGTTCTTTTTCATAATCGTAAATCTCGACTTGAGAAGGTTTCATTTGACACCAACCAACATGGGAGTGCTTGGCTGGAAGATCAATGACCTGATGCTTCTTTCGTCGGAGGATAAAGGGCTTCATCATGGACTTCGCTCGCTCAATGCGCTGCTGAGACAGGAGAGTAGCGTGGGACTCGTCGGTCGTCTTTGCCTTGTTGGAAAACACAGCATGAAGATCTTCCTTGTGCTCCTGGAAGACCGAGGGAAGAATAAAGCCGAGAAGAGATGCCAGTTCCTGCAAGTTGTTCTGGAGAGGGGTACCGGTAAGAAGCAGACGGAAACGCGCCCGAATTCGGATCAATTTTTCGTACAGCTGAGATTGATGGTTCTTGAGCATGTGGCCTTCATCGTAGACACAAACAGTGAAATTCATGTCACGCAAGAACTTGGCATCAAGCTTCGCCTTGGCAATCGTGTAGGTAGTGATCACAACGTTGATCTCGTCACGTCGTTCCTCGATCTCCTCGCGGATAAGAGCACGCTCGTTGAGACCTGCATAGTAGGGCATGACGTTCAAGACGGGACAGAACTTCTGGAACTCGCGAAGCCAGTTCTCAATGGTAGAAGACGGGACAACAATCAGGTGAGGACCCTTGATGCCCTTCTCAAACAGATGCGCGAGGAATCCAATGACCTGGCAAGTCTTGCCCAGGCCCATGTCATCAGCGAGAATGCAGCTCAGTTTCTTTTCAAACAACAATGCCAGCCAGTTGATGCCGACAATTTGGTAATCCTTCATCACCAGGTCGTCCGCCATGATAGCGGGCTGCGAGATAAAACGAGATTTGCGCTTGGAAACAACCAGTTTTCCGCTTTCTTCGTCACTTTCGGAAGATTGGCGTTCAGACGCAGGAGTAGCAATGCCAGAGTCGTGCTCTGGTTTGGCAGGAGCAGGAGCAAGGTTGGTAATTTCCAAGTCACCTTTTTTCCCGAAGGTGTCAACACCCCATTTCTTCATCTCATCAGCGACTGGTTTGCCGAGTGCCGCAACCTCGCTAACAAGAGCGTCAATGGCCAGATATCCAGTCCACATATCAATACACTTGTCGACAATCTTGTCTCCAATGGGCTTAGGGGCCTTGCCTCCTCTCTTGCCCTTGGGCTTCACAGTCTCTACAACTGGGGCAGAGACAACACGCACCGCATCGAGGGTCTCGTATGGACGGTTCGAAATGATAATTTGAGCGGTTTCTTCGGGGATAGAAGCGATATCAGCGAGATCCTGAACACGGCATGTGTTGAAGAATTTCAAGACCTTGGAATCCAAACCGCCAGCGGTGGATTCTTGGACCTGAACATTGGAATCGTCCGAATCACTCATCATAGCCTCTGGAGACTCGGATCGGTCAGGTGAAGGGGCTTTGCGACCCTTCTGGAGCCGTCCCAGCTTCTTTTTCGGGGGACTGTCATCGTCGATTGTGATAGAGCGAATAGGGGAAACAGGACGGGAAGAGACGTCAGACTTGGGTCCACGAATGAGTCGGCGGCGGGGCTTTCCTTCGTCATCGGAATCCTGGCCCTTGGGCTGCTTCATTGCTGCCCACTTGTCCTGAATGGTGCCACGGGCTTTGATGTTCTGCTTGGCCATGGGGACCGGGCCCGTAGCCGGAGAGGCACTCAATTCATCATCGGAGGATTGAATAGCCACGGGACCATTCTCCTGGTCAGCAGCATCCATTTTGGCAAGAATTTGGAGGGCGTCGTCGTAGTTTCCCTTTGCTTTCAACATCGCGTCCATACAGGCTCTAACAGTCATATGCGGCATAACTTTGAGAATGCGCTCAACTTTGACGCGGAGTCTGAAGTCGTTGATTTCATGAAGCAGGATGTCTGGAACTCCCACTGGCTGTGCGCGAGAGGGCGCATCTTGGCGCGCTTTTTTCATGGCAACCCCCTTAGGTGCCGGCGGACTCATCTGGTCTGCAGTCCGCTTGATTGCGGTTCCAGCATTCTTCGGATCGTACATGGCAGAGGCTGTAATTTCTCGGAACCGATCCATTGGCCCGGCGTCAGGGCGGACAGGCGACTCCATGATTTTTTCTTTTTCGGGACTCCGAATTGTTTTCGCAAACGTAGATGGTTTGATATCTGTGCTTTGTAGATACTCTTCGTCTGAGGATCCACCCCGATATGTCGGTCCGTCGTCGAGATCAAATGTTGGTGTTCGTTTTGTAGGACCAGAGGCAGGAGGTCGGAATTGCGTCCCAGCAGGAGCGATTAAGGATGAAAGTAAACCGCCTTGGACTCGGCGGGGAGGAGAAGAGGCAGGGCCGATCGGTGAAGATGCAGCAACTTGAATGACAGTGTTATTTTGCCGCGAGTAAGGATGTTCAAGTAGTTGTGTTGGTTGGGTCAATCTTTGCGACGGGGTTATCGCTGGAAGAGTGGCGATAGTTTCGTAGTCTTCGCCAGGGGGGGTACTCGGAATGGTTTTTATATCTCGAGGAGGGGTATTATTGACAGATTCATCCATCGCTCAAAATACTAACAATGTAATTGCATCAATAGAAGCCATCTAATTGTTCTGCGCTATTCAGGAACGTTTTTTCTGCCAAAGCGGACACGCGCGACCGTGGACGCGCCCAATCACGTGTGAGATCAGTCAATTAAGCTATGAATTAGAACAAAGGAGTAGGACATATGAAGAAATTTAATCTTGTGAAGCCCGTCGGATGGGGCTTAGTCCTATAGTGAATAAATGAACAATAGATCTTAGCTTCCCCAAATGCGAATGAAACAATAAGAGAGTCACATGGGCGTATATACATCAACCCACCAATCAAACCCCAGCATGTGACGGCGGACACTAAGTTATCTCCGCACTTGCGATAGCTTCAGTTCCTTTGTTCTCTCAACATAGGACATAGACCTTCCCTTCTCGTCCTTTGGCCTTTGACTTTTTTTTAATAACTGCTACTCGAAAAGAAACAAGCATGTCTGCCCGTCGCCCCCACAACCAGTCCTACGCCGATGTTGCGGCGAAGCCTCCGCCGCAAGGCACTTCCGACGTGGCCCCAGCTGTTCCTGCGTAAGATAATCGCCTTAGAAGCTTAAGTTGATCCTTGAAGACACATTCTTATTAGCTTTGATATCTAGAGATGTGATATACAAGCTCCTCGGCTTTACAGCTGCCATGATCGCTGGCCCCATTGGCATGTATTTTTTGACTGTGAATACAATCTTCAGTGGTGAGTATTTCTCTGCCTGACAACTTGCAATGATGTATACTGATTGAATCGATGTTATCTAGGGAGCTCAACGCTCGCCGGAATTACCGCCGCCGTTACCGCCAACGTGGTCTTGTTCGCATATATCTATGTCGCCTGGACTGAGGACCAGGAGGACAGACAAGCAGCCAGCAAGTCAGATTCAAAGAAAGCCCAGTAGATTGGATAAAACTCGACCTGGGGGATTTCAGATAACGATTGCTCTTTTCGGCGTTACGGCATTCTTCGGGTGGTTGGAGCTTCTGTTTTTGTGTAATTGGGATGTGGAACAATTTCGACCATCTAAAAGGCTCAATTGTAAAACTACACATTGACAGCTATGCATCTGGCTGTTAGATATCCCGAATGTTCCCTGGATATCAAGCTCCACACTTCAATCCCGGCAGTCAAGGCTCATTAGAAATGTGCTGTTCATGTTGAAGGAACCGCATGTAGAGACAAAAAAAAGACCTCAGCCCATGCCCTCAGTATAGACGGATACGCCGGTATGCAGTACCAAACAGAAATCACTCTCACATATTCCGATTCTCATCAGCTATCAGCTTAGGTAGGTCTACGCTTGACAAACTCCTCCAAGTCCGCCTTGGTAGCAACACCAAGCACAAACTTGCGTGCCACATCAGTGACAACAGCAAACTGCTGCTTCTCGCGCTTCTCGCCATTTGGCCCGGTCTCGCTCTCGAAGAACTGCTCGAGCTCCTCGAGCGGCGTGTTCATCGTGATGACCTGGTAGATACCGCGTTTGCGGTTAAACCGCTGCATCGCTGCTGAGACTGGGTCGCTTTCTTTCACGGCGCCGCTCTGCAGCAGCTCTCGTAGCCGTGGGATGCTGAGGTAGCCCAGCAGGGAGCGCTTTGTTGGGGAGATAACGGTGAGGTGCGTGTAGTCGCGCTCGTAGGCGGCCATTAGCGCTGTGGAAATCGGGTCATGAGAGGAGATTGAGAGCGCCGGGGGAGGATCGAGATCTTCAACTGTTGCCTGTGTTTTGTGTTAGTTTGCGGGTCCGGATGATTGTATTGGGAGAGACGGACACCACGGTACTTGTCGGCCCAGGCTGCTGTAGATGATGTGCTTATTTCGGGGGTAGCTTGCTTCTCGCGAGTGAAGGCATCACTGCCGGTCAGGTATGATGCCATTCTGTCCGTGATCGCGGTGAGGGGTTGGTGAGGGGCAGTGGATGGGTTGGACGGTAGTCGAGAAGAAGGACGGTTAGATGGAAGATGGAGAAGAATTGTCACAGATGTAAATATTGAGAAGTCAAGTAGGGGTTCTCAGTAGGGTATACCTAAGTTGTGTAGGATCAAGAGCTTTCAGCCGTTGCGGGATGACTTTTTGATGTCAAGCTTGGCATCTCTTCAACTCCACTACGGCAAACTCTTGCGGCCACGGAGGATATCAAATTCACACATACATATCCATTCTATTTTTGCTTCCAAGGTTCTTACTTTCGATTCAAAATATAATGTGCTCTCCATCATCAAGCCTAAATAAAATGAAGAAATTGGTACGCAGCTAAGACAGCCCAAAGTCAATATCCTCACCCAACTATATCTAGAGTGGATATCCAGACTAAATTTCCAGACCATTGGCAACTAGAGATATTTATTATAGAATACAATAAATACCCTCAGCGTAGCTTTATAGAATCCAAGCACATGTCCATAAATATATATACGAACCGGTTTCTTTTTTGGCCCCAAGGGGAGGATTGTGATCCTGGTCAGGTGTATGCAACTACGTACTAGCATGTTCAGACTCACAGACTCACAGACTCACAGACCCACACGGAGGAAGTAACTCCTAACTCCGATGGACTTATAAGTGCAAGTATTAATTCCTACAGAGTACGCATCCAAAGTAATCTCTCCTCAAACGTATCTGTAAACCTTGGAAGATCCTTGGTACCCCACCAAGACTTACCACCCCTACACGTCATTATCTTTGTGAGCTCTTACTCCCCCATCACTTGCTATTCCATCCCGATTCAACCTCTCATACAGAGTCAATTAGAAGGAAATACACTCAGTGTCACTTGAAATCCACCCTTTGGTGGAGATCGCCGGATATCCAAGCCGACTCCACTTATACCCACCTCCCGAAGTACGCCATGATTCCTGACTGGATCAACGCTTTCGCCGCCCAGCATCCTCTAGGTGCTGTGAGCAACAAAGAGAGCTCCACTGTGAAAAACAGACCGTTCACCGCTTGGAGTGCACTCGACGATGTGAAAACAAAGGCCGACGACATTGCCCACGAGGCCAGCCGGGAATTTAATGCCGCAAGCCAGAAGGCCCAGGAGAAGACCGGCAAGATCCAGCCTGGCTCACTGAAGTACTATGCAGCTTGTACATTTGGTGGAATGTTGGCATGTGTCAGTAACCCCCTTTTATCTGAATTAGGAGGGCTATATGGAGCAGATACTTACATATATACCAGGGTCTTACCCACACTGCCGTGACACCCCTCGACCTGATCAAATGTCGCCGCCAAGTTGACTCCAAGCTCTACAAGAGCAACATACAAGCCTTCCGCACCATCCGGGCAGCTGAAGGTATTCGCGGTGTCTTCACGGGCTGGAGCCCTACCTTCTTCGGCTACAGTGTAAGCCTGAGCGACATGTGGAGCTTTTACATTCCTTATTATCTATATTAATTAAAATTATAACAGGCCCAAGGAGCTTTCAAGTATGGAGGATACGAGTACTTCAAGGTCTTCTACAGCGACCTAGTCGGCCAGGAAAACGCGAGCCGGTTCAAGACTGCCATCTACCTGACCGCTAGTGCTTCGGCAGAGTTGATCGCAGATATCGCGCTGTGTCCATTCGAGTCCGTTAAGGTCCGCGGTCAGACGACCATTCCTCCTGAGATTACAGGTACTTTCAGTGGTATCTCGAGCGTTATTTCTAAGGAGGGCGTTGCTGGGTGAGTTCGACGTCTATCGTCTTCCGTTCTTGAGTCAAATCTCTATCTTCTGACTCTTAAATCAGCCTGTACAAGGGTCTTTACCCGCTCTGGGGCCGTCAAGTTCCCTACACCATGATGAAGTTCGCTTCCTTCGAGACTATTGTTGAGATGATCTACCACAATTTGCCAGGTCAGAAGTCCGACTACAACAAGGGTGCCCAGACTGCCGTTGCATTCTCGGGCGGCTACCTCGCTGGTATTCTGTGTGCTGCGGTATCGCACCCTGCGGATGTCATGGTTAGCAAGTTGAACGCGAATCGACAGGCGGGTGAGGCATTTGGCGCTGCTATGAGCCGCATCTATGGTGACATTGGCTTCCGGGGATTGTGGAACGGACTGCCTGTTCGTATTGTGATGATCGGTACTTTGGTGAGTTGTTCTCATGTTCAACTGGTTTGATTTAGGTGCTAACAAGACTCCGATGTACAGACTGGACTCCAATGGATGATGTATGGCCTCTCTTACTTTTGGTCGGCGCACTGGATATATATTGACTTCGATCTTACAGCTACGATTCATTCAAGATTTTCATGGGACTTCCTACCACAGGCGGCTCAAGCGAAGACAAGAAGAAGACGAACTAAGGACGTGTCTGGTTTGATTCCGCGGGTAGCATGCGCAGCTTCTATGATTCTATCCTTTACCATATGGGCCGTGGCTACGCTGATCTTTATGTCTTTTCTCAGGAATATTCTATTATTGTACAAGTTCAATACATACTCTCCTATTATTCCCTTAATATGGATGGATATAAAATAAACGCCAAGCTCACTATCGGCCAATTGCAGTTTGTCACACCTCCACCAATCGGAGACCGTTATCTTATCAGCGACGTCACCAATGTAGTTCGTCTGCGAATATAGATGTTCAATGTAGTTGAATAACAACATCTGAACGATATAGATAGAGAACGAGCAAAATTAAGGAACCTCTTGGCTCGGAATCTTAGTATTATCTAGCTCCCCCGATACGATCAAGTGGGTGGATTATACTTAATAGATCTAGATCCCCAAAAATCCACTTGTCTTATATCCCCCCTGTACATCCTAAAAGTCATTTCGAGACCCTAAAGAAACAGTAAGCTCGCAGTTACACCCCCAACACGTGGATTTTCCCCGCCATCGCATCTTGTACCTGCATCCATCGCCCCATCATCGATAAATACCTTCCCACCAATCCTTCTTCCTTTCGCAACTACCCATCCCACTTACAATCCGTTTCACCTACAAATTGCCTCACTTGCGCGAAACGATGTCTGACGAAAACCAGTCAACCACCATGCCCGAGAAAACCGATAAAGCGACCAACGAGTCCGAGGCACCAATGGTCTCTCACGGCCGAGGAGGTAAAGCTAACCCCTTCCAGCACCCTAATCGCGATACCCCCCCTTCTATTCCTATTCTCCAAGACGACCAAACTAACAAGCTCCATAATTAGGCCAAGGAAATATCGGTCACGCCACCACCGAGTATGTCCAAACTAGTCGCACAAGCGAGATATACACTAAAACCAGAAAACAAAAACAGATACGTCGATGGCGAGATCGTCCGCGAAGGCCCCTACGGCGACCAAGGTGATGGCGCTTACTCCGCTGGCGTGAGTACAATCTCTCACCCCACCAACCCCAAGCCTCCAACTCCCACTGATGCACGAGACTCCACCCAGCGAGGCGGCGCAGGAAATATCGGCTCCCCAATGGTCCGTCCGTCGTCCAGGGCCCCCCACGACGTCGAGATGATCCCTGAGCTTGCGGTCCGCGACTCTACAGACGAGACATACCACACCGGGGTAAGAAGCAGAGAGCTCTTTCGCTTGTTTATCTTCGATTTATTTTATGATTGAATTCCCATTTTGCGAACCTTCTTTTTTTGCCCCTATGGATTTCCCCTTAGTTTTTTTTTTTTTTTTTTACTTTTGTCTTCCCTTTGCCCGATTTCGGATTCCCAGCCGCATTTTTCCCAGGACATTATGGCTGACTTTTTTTTCCCCGGGTGATAGCGTGGTGGACAGGGAAATGTTCATCTCGATGAGGCTACGCTCAAGGAGAAGGAGAAGAAGAAGGTTGCGCATGAGGGGTTGGCTGATAAGTTGAAGTATAAGTTGCTGGGGCGGAAGTAGGGGTAAATCGGGGGTGTTTTTTACTCTTTCTTTTTGCTGCGTCTTGTGCTTCTTTCGTGATTCCCATTTCTCTCAGGCGGTGGTGATGGCGGGTGAGCCTGGTATCAATTTATTCTCCGGTTTTGTTTCCGGATACTATGGTGAACGTTCGCTTTCCTATTATCAGTTATCTTTCACGTGTTTTCAAGGTGGATCTTATACCTATGTATAAGTGTTTGTACTTGCAAGTGTATGCATATGCATCTAATGGGGAACAGTAAAGACAATGTGAGGGATATCCTAGGAGGGATGGGTAGAATAGATACAGATCAATATGAATAATAAACAGGAAGCAAGAGAAACAAACTAAACAAATCCCAATCCATGACATCTCCCAAGTGTCCATGTATCATAACCTCATTACAACATGCAAATGAAACAACTAGTCATGCAGAAGCAAAAAAAAAACAATAATAAACGCATCCCGTGTATCCAGATCCGGTTCCATCCAAAGTGAAAAACGCCAGTCTGCACAACCCGGAAGAAAAAAAGAAAAAAAGAAAGGATCATGCATCTTGAAATGAAGTGTCCAGATACAGTATCAAGCATTGTCCATCTCAGTCTCATATCTCACTCGAGATACTCGGATTTATTTAATCTTTGCTGAACCGGCGTTTGAACCAGCTCTTCCTCTTATCCTGTTTCTCCGCAGCCGGAGGTTGGTTCACATTCTTACGCGGAGTCGATTGTGCAGGCCCAGCCCCCGTGGAAGTCGGAGCACCTCCAGAAGGCCCACCCCAGCTCGAGTCACCGAGGGGCTGGGGAGTTTGGGGTGAGTTGAAATTGAAACCATGCTCGGCTTGAGCACGCCCATCAAGACGCTGTTGCTGCAGAACCTGCTGCTGCAGTTGGTCGTTGGAACTGTTCATCGAACTGGGGTTTGTGGATTGGCCGTAAGGGTCCGTGTTTCCAGAACTATTGTGCGATATGGCGGCCACGTTGTCGCGGGACCGTTGGTAGCCGTATTGTGAGCTGCCGGGCATGTTTGGGTAGCCCTCGGACGGGGTGAGGGGCGTCGAGGCTGACCCGCGTGGATGGTGGGATGGGCGTCTTCTGCTGTTTTGGCTATATCCACCCTGATTATATCCACTCTGAGCGTAGGGGTTCTCGGGTGATAGAGGTGCGTTTTGGTATGCGTTCAAGATGCTGTCGGGTCGCGATTGTGTTTGGCCGTGGTGATTACTTTGTTCGTAGTTTCTGTTTGAAGGACCGCTGTTTTGACCTATCGACAAAAGGATTAGACGCAATTAATGAAAGGGGGCAATCACTTAAAACATACCTCCATAGTAGCTTGTTCGTCGGCTGAAGTCGCCTATCTGTGATGCGGCATCCTCTATCAAAGAAATCAGCCCGCATTCCCGTATTCCTGACTTTTCACAAGGAATTGCCAAAAAAAAAAAAAGAATACCTGTCTTAGCATATGACGCACGATTATTATTGTATGAGCCGTTGATGGCTGCCTCAAAGGATCGAATTGTATCCAAGGGGCGCTCCAAACGTGGTCGAGTGGGATTTGACAGGTCGGGATCGGCTAGGAGGAAGCAAGGGTTAGCAAAACAGCCCCAGGAACGAAAAAGATCGGTGAATACGAACTGATGACATTCCCGTACTGATCTTTGAATTCAAGCTCTCGCAGCGAGCCCAAATTTGACTTTTCCAGCGCAACGGCCACTGTTGAGATGTCAGTTGCAGTGAGATAGGAAGGAATGCGACCGGGCCAGAATCACAGGCCGGACGTCTCAACTGGACATACTAGGCTGAAGCTCATTCATAGCGACGAGTGGATCTGCTTTGGTGTGTAGATTGCGACGGGCTTTCTCTTCTGAAGACTCAGAAACTCGGCGTTTATGGCTGGCTGATCCAGATTTGTCGGATTTGTCGGACTTCACGCTGAATCCACGACTCCTTTTCGGAGAGGTGGGAGATTTGGGGGTGTCCATTTTATTAGGAGTTCCACCGTACTTTTTAGCGTCCGAGATTCAAGGCAGGTCTGAAACGGTTGTGATCTGCCTACCGCTGGAGTGGAGCGTAGGTGGAGGTAGGAATTGCCAAGAGGGGCGATAACAATTCAGCGCGTTTGCAATTTGAGACACGGTAAGGCTGGTCACCAGTAGGATTCGATCGACACGATGAAATAAATGGAGGTCGACTGAGAGAGTGACTGGGAGTGATTTGGTGTTTTTTTTTTTTCGATGCTTGCCCAAGTGGTTGGGGTAAATGCGAGATGTGAAGTGTCAAAGAGTGGAGTAAGGAAGCAAATGAATTACAATAGTACAAGAGTACAAGAGTACAGGAGGCGATAGAAATCGACCTGAATTGCAAGAATTGCAGAATTGCAGAAATGCAGAAATAAAAGAAAATCTTTCCAAGTTCCCAAGAAAAGGGAAATCGAATGGTTTTTATCGGGACCACGCAACCCAAGGCTTCCAAGTACTTCCAGCTTCCCGAGTACGTACTCTCTTGTTTTGTCTGGTTTTTTTTTTTTTTTTTTTTTTTCTTTTCTTTTTTTTATGCCCAATTTCTACTTAGCTTTCATTTCTTTAAAATATTCAGATTATTCAAAATGTTTAGAGAATCTCGCTAAATAACTATACCTCCATGGTACAACCATTCGATTCGACCCTGCGATTGGTGATGTTCCTCCGCTTCCCATGGGAAGTGGCAAGAGTCCATATATGCGTATATTGTAGGTTGATTAGCTTCGGATGTAATTGATATTCTAAGGGCAGGGCTCTGTGGAATAATCCCTGATACTGATATAAACCCAACCTTGACATTCATACTCCGTACAAATAGGGCTCCTTCGAAATCGACCTTTTCATTAAAAGTCTCACCTTTTTACTTTTTGCTTTTCTTTTCCCAGCCATTCTAGAAAATCGGAATCACGCGTAATGCAGATCATCCGGGCTATTCCAATTGGCTTAATTTTAGGTACGATGTATCATACGTCGGAATATCCTATGCATTCCCTTATGAACGCTTTATTATGCAAACCTTAAGCGCTTTGGGCGAATGAAGATGAATTACTATCTACGCGGTATTAGTGTACAACATATATGCATATAGTAATCACCCAGTGCTTCCCAGCCTCGGGATACCCTTCTAAACTGAATATACAAAGTAGAACTAAAAAAAAAGCCAATACACGTAACGTGTTCATCAACCTCGGAATCATCTTAGGGCTTGGGTTCTTGAGTCACCCGCGGACCGTTGGCCCGTGTGGATTGCTAAAAATAGTCGCGATCTAAAAAATTCATACATAGCCCGAGGTATTGACGCCGTACGTGATATTACAGACTCTGCAGAATGATACCGGGTAGATCATCGGAAGGTTACTAATCATGTATTAACAATGACTTCCTTAGGCCGAGGACTCGCTTATTCTGATTGGTTATACATTATGCACACCTCGGCGCATAAACCGTCGTTCTATTTTGAAACAAATTTAAATCACACTGCCGAATATATTTATTCAACCTATTCATATTCTTTTGACCGACGGTCCAACATATTCCTTCGGTCCCGTTAAACACGGTTTCGGATCCGATGTCGATGAGTGACAACGCGCAGCTAATGACGCAGGAGAGGACAATAGCATTCGTAGGAATCTTGCGCTTGGCATCCACTTTGTCGATCCATTTTGCAAATGGGGGGCCCTGGTCCCGGGTGAAGGCAAAGTTCTGCTGCGAGGTAGAAGCGTTGAAGAGTTTAGTATATTGCTGAAAATCACGGGGAGTGGGATAATCGCCATTAGTCCATTCACTCCTGTAATGGAGATTGCTTTTTGGAAGAGCTGAGCATCATTCTCGTTCATTGTACACCTCCATCTATCCCCAAGTCTATTTACATGTATTAATCGCAGAACTGGCTAAACTGCACGCCTCACCATCCCATCAACCATCAACTGGCTAGCCCATATATCTCAACTGGTCACAGAAAGCAGCTAGCTGTTCCGGCGTCGTAATTCCAGCCAAGGAAGGAATCTCCTCAAGAACCTCAAGCAGAGTCCGATTCTGTTCGATGGCGGACTTGCCAGCCTCATAAACCAGATCATGCGCTCCCTGTCGTCCCAAATGTGGTGCCAGTCCCATCATCACTGCCTCGCCCACAATCAACCCCTTTGTAGAATACAAATTGCGTCTCATTGAGTCAACCTTAACCACCAACCCCCCGAGAGCGAAACTCATCTGGTGTAAAGCGCCCACCGCAGTCACAAAGGCATTGGGAATAGCCACCCATTCCAAATGCCACGGTCCAGAGGCACGCCCAAAGTCAGTAACCATTGCATCTAATCCCAGCGACGCATTGGCACACAGCATCTTCGACGCAGCCAGAATCACCTCACTGGAGATAGGATTACGCTTTTGTGGCATCGTGGACGATGCACCCCTATGAGGCACAAAGGGCTCTGAGACCTCGTCGAACTCATTGGAAGACATAATCATCACATCTAATGCAATCTTCCCCAATGTGCCACCGGCAAGAGCTAGAAAGTTGAGGACCTCCGCTATAATATCCCGCGCAACATGCCAAGTAATATCTGGATTCTTCAATCCAAGCTCGGCGGCAAGCTGCTCACGTTCCATAGGTATTGGTTCAACCCCTGTCATACCAGGGTCAAAAATGTATAGACAGCTTAATAGAACGACCCTACGGGGATAGTAGCAAGATACTAAAGACTAGCTGCTTAGTATAGATGAGCAAGATTTATTCATGAGATACATATGTATTTTTTATAAACTGCATGTATTTTGGTGGATATTGTAATTAATTAATTAACTACAGTCTACCCAGAACTAGATTACAGTACCAAAAGACACGAATGTCATATATTGTTTCATTCATAAACCACGATGAACCAAACTTACGTTTCACTTGCTCAGAGACCTGGTAGAGTACTCTTCATGCTCCACTTCACTTTTCTCTTGAGCGTCCCGGGGAAATTCGGGCATGGTCTCAAGAGGTCGGTTATTAGCAAATCGAACAGTTGACCACACTGATGGACTCGCGGAAGATGAGGTCAACCTCCTCTAGAGAATGTCCCATCATCTGGAGACTATTAGTAAATGGCTCACATTTGACAATAAATCACGGAAACTCACCTCAGGGTACAAGAAATAGACAGTTATAGGGACAAATGCACCAATGCACGTATAAACAATGTAGTACTTATACCCGATTGTTTTTATTGCGACTGGCGTAATCATAGTAACCACGAAGTTCCTATCGTGAAGGTTAGAATTTGTTTGGTGAAACATCTTTCCTGAATAGAGGAGTGTGTATACCAAAGCCAACGATTCGCGGTTGAAATACTCGACATGGCAACGCGAAGACGAATCGGCGCCACCTCCGTGCAATAGAGGAAGTTGGCACCAAGGAATCCGATCGGGATGAAGAAATTGAAAAAGAAGACGAAAAGGACACTGATGATCTGTGCGGCATAATTGGAATGGGGGAAAGATGTCGCAATCAGCATGCAGCTAGCCATTCCACCTCCGCTCACCATCAAAGCGATGCGACGACCAAATCTGTCGATGGTGAAGGAGGATACAAAGCACGATAGGAACTTCAATGTAAGTGTACCACCGGAGAGAATCCGGGCATTCTCAGCATCCAGCCCTAGACCTTGCTCAAAGATACCGGCGATTTCTCCCGATATCCCAGATGCATCCTCGGGAAGATCTCTCAAAGAAGCAAGTATAGTCCGAGCCTCCGCAGCGCGGTTCTAGCGCACAAGCCATCGAGGAGATTCGGGAAGGAAGACGATTGATATGAGGAGGACGATAGCGAGGACGATGGGAATTGCGATTGGGGCTCGCCAAGTGACAGGTCCTGTCTTGAACTGATAGAAACCAAAATTGATCCATGCTTGAAGCATGTACCCGAGCGCGATGAAAAGATCATCAAGTACTACGTGTTTACCTCTGTTTTTGGAGCTGGGGCACTCGCTTTGCCAGGTTGGGACTGTTCCGCTCAGCATGCCAATTCCCGCTCCAAGCATAGTACGACCCACGATCATCTGTGCCAGTTGGTAAGATGATGTCTCCAGCACTTGGCCAATTAATGCAAGTAGACCGCCCATAAAAATCACAGGACGTCGGCCGAATTTGTCGGCAGTGTATGAGCAGGACAGACAGCCGGGCAGTGCGCCCAAGGTGAATGTTGCTATCACTACGCCTTGAATTGTCGCATTGTGACTAGCCTCGGCGCCTTTGGTGTTGACGGTGTCGATGGCCGGGAAGTGTTTAACCCAGTCCGAGAGTGAAACGAGGCTTCCGAGTCCTGACTGATTGTATCCGAAAAGGGTGTATGCTGGGCAAACAACCAAAAGAATCTGAGCAAGAGACAACGCCTATCCTCGAAGATTCCAAACCCTCGAAGTCATTTCGAGGGATCTGTTCTGGGGATGGTAGCCAAATTCGTAGAGTAGACAAAAGCTCGAAAGAAGAAAGGAATCCGGATGATGCATCAAAACCTGGGGCCCCGGATTGCGGCCATTAAATAGAGAATGACAGGCTTGGCTTGCAGAATCCGGGGTCATGCAATGCATCGCCGCGGAATAGAGAAACAATGGAAGGGTCGATCTCGGTATAGGGCTAGGAGGCTCGGAATAAGGCCCTTATTCCGGCACTAAGCAACTGCTTGGGCCATCTCCGATCATGACTCGCCCAAATCCATGAATCCCATGAACGGGCCTGATGGATCACCCATCCAGTCAGAAGCCGTCATATAGTTCAAAGAGTCCAATGCATTGCCACCCCAGTTTTGCTCGTCAAAAGTGTCGGGCGCATTACTGACAGAAACGCCATCATTCATCACATGAGGAGTCTCCACCAAGCCTTGCATAGCTGGCAGTGACGAAAGTAATGTTTGTAAGGTTTTAATAATCTCACTGAGAGATTTAGAGTAAAAGCCTCCCTGCGCTCGAGTAGCCCGAGTACTCTCTATTGTCAAGATAGATATTCCTTTCGAAACCATGCCCATGCTAGTATCAAGCGCTGGGAAGCCATCTGGCTTAAACGTGTGATATTTGAATTGAGAGTAGATGTAAACGAGGGCAGATTGAAAGATTGTAGCCGGTCCGACCAGACTCAGATTTCGAAGCCACTTCGGGATGTTAGATGTTTCAACCAAGAACAAGATGGCACTGCCGGAATCGAGACATGCCTTGAGACAATTGCCAAACTCTGATGTTGTATCGTCAAATGAAAGGCCAGGGCGATGTATTAAAGTCATGGTTATGTTCGCCATGAGTTGGAGCCATATATTCGTGCTCTCATAGGAATGGTTGGCACCATCGGATGAATGCTGCAGGCCAGTAATCCCAATGTCAAAAGGAATACCATCCGCTTTGAGATTTTGATTCCACACTCGGAGGTCACGCTCTAGGTCCATGATTTTCCTTGCGCCATCACGCCGCTGTGTCATTGTATATAAAAGATCGAGAATTCTTGAGAGCTTTTTGCCAAGGCTCACGTATTGCAGGAACACAAATACTGCGGTTCTTTCCCCCGGTAAGGGATGAGAAAGCTCCGTGGCCTCTAAGTCATTTAGACAGTCAATAGGTAGGTCGTTGTCAACGTCGGCGTCGTTGATCAGGGGAGGCAGTCTGTGAAGAATAGAAGTAAACCTGGATGATCAGCATGGATGTAAGTTCATAGTGCACAAGTAGCTTACCTGTCAAACACATAGACCCACCACCACAAGCGTTTCCGAAGCTCAATTTCACCAACCCCCATTTTGAATCGCCTTGCGTGCCTATGGAGACCCAAAGATTGAGCAAGGCTGACAATCATGCCGTTGAGGGTTGTGAGAGTCAGACAGTGACATATCGTTTCGGGTCAGATATATCGGTTTATCAAACTATACATCCTCAGAGACAAAGGTCGCATGAGCCGCCGGTTATTCTTGTTCCAATATACTATAGGCCTCAATAGCCCTATACTAACTTAACGTAAAAAGCGATACCGATTTAATAATGAGTGCCTTAAAAAAGTCCTTGGAGAAAGTTCAAATAGAAATAGCCAATCGGCTGGGGTCCATTACCCAGTTTTGACCGTGGGAAGGTTCTATAGTTCTATAACGTCTTTTATACATAATGCTCGGCGTTGAGTGAGAGCATGTGGGGGGTATCTTATCTATCATTAAAATAATAACGTGGGTTCCCGGGTTGAATCCGGAGAACCATGCAAATCGAAGAATCAAATGACTCAATTCGAGTGGCGAGCTCAGGCTGTTGATTCGCCGACTGTCTTGGGCGCGACGTCCTCCACGGTGACCTGCACCTCGTGGCTGTGTTCCAATTCAGACAGAACAATCCACGTGGGGACGAAGGCAAGAACAGTGATTCCAAAGTTGAGACCGATGCTGATGAAGTGGTTGGCACCGCCTTCGGTCTGCATGGCCCATGCGACGGTTTGTCCCAGAGCCTCAAATCCACGCAGGATTCCGCAGTGGTAGGACAAAGATGAGATGTCGGTGCTGTACTGACCAACCAGCCAGTAAAGGAATTGCTGGAAGGCTTGGCCACTGAAGTTCCAGAAGAAGACGAGCGCGTAGGCCTTGTTGAAGCCGCTCGTGAACCAGTCGAACATCGGGGGCTCGGGTGCGTCGTAGTACTGCTTCTGCAGGATGGTAGCCCAAATCCATGTGCCAATGATCAGGGTGATGATGGAGCAGAAAGCGATTCTGGCGCGGGTCTTGATGAAGATGGATTGGCGATCGAGTAGGGCGGCCCAGATGAACGAAGATGCGATTCCGGCGAAGTTGGTGAGGAACGAGGAGAATGCGCGAGATCGCACGGTGAAGTAGGTGGTCAGGAATGTGCTTTGGAAGCCGTTGTAGAAGTAGCTAATGAAGAACGCCGGGAGGAGGAGCAGGACGCGGCGAGTGAAGATCAGAGAAAAGGCAGCCTTGAATTCCTTGGCCCAAGTTTGTTTCTTGTCGACAATCACAAGAGAGTGGTCCTTGCGCTGCACCTTCTCGGCGGGACTAAGCAGGAGAGAAATCGGCAGACCGAGACACATGATGACAATGAAAACGATGTAAGTCGAAGCGCTGACCGTTCCCTTTTTGGAGCTCTGTGCATTCAGTCCCAGACTGATTGCACCGCCAACAATCGGACCGGAAGACTTGGCAGTCTGCCAGATAGCAATGTAGAAAGCGCGCTCCTTAGGACTGGGATAACCAATGATAATGGCAGCCTCGGCAGCCCAGAAAAATCCAGCTGAGATACCGCACAGCGCGGAGCCGAAGAGCAGGAACCATGTCGTGGGGTGGTAGTTGTTAGTGTACAGACCGGCACCGTAGATCGGGTAACCGATCGCGCCAAGAACCAGACCGTATCGAAGACCAATACGGTTGTTGATTGCACCAGCGGCGACACAAACAATAGCAAACAGTCCATAGACCAGAGCATTCGCTGCGGAGACGGCGTAGGGCTCAGCTGCACCACCTGCTCCGAGGTTGTTCAGTGCATCCCACATTCCAGGTGCGGTGAACGAGACACCACTAGCAACGGCAATTTGGAAGGGAATGGAGCGGTACCAAGACGACCGAGGCCGGGTGATAGTCTGAGAGTCATCGTGGGTCTCAGAAGTAACTTCTGACTCGATGGGAGGGGCCATGGTCAAATGTATGCCCTCTCAAGAGACCTTTTTGTATATATTAAAGATATTAGAGCAATAAAAGAAGAAAGAACAAGGATCAGAAGAAGATATATTGCTTAAAAAAATTTAGATTAAAGGTGGGTCCCCGAGATGTCGTGCTTGGTGCCAAGACATTGAAAAGGCGGCCGATGGAAAACTTTGGCCACCATGTTCTCACCACGTTTTGACTAGCTTCGGCACTTTTGACATGTTAATAATCCTAAACGAATGGCACGATGTTCTGTTTCCAACTGTGATTATATATATATACATGTATATATGATGAAGCAATTCAATACTCACACATTCGAAGACAATCGTTCCTTTCGCGTATCCCGACGGACGAGAAAGGCGATCAAGCCAACACTCAAGAATTGTGCGATAGTAGTGACCAGGTTCGAGATGAATCCCGTTCGAAAGTATGGGGCAGAAACAGCCGGATACTGAAAGATCTGTGTCCATGCAGCCATGGCCTGGCCGATCGCATTCATGCTTGCCGTGACGATAGCGCGTTCCTCGGCATCATTGGCCATGGTGATAGTCGCCCAACTCATACTGAGCGGACTAATTGCTGTGATAAAGTCAATATCCAAAGCCATGTTTTAATATGAAAGATAACAAATAAGATCAGAGAGCCTCGGTGTTGTATTCGGAATCCACATACCGCCTTCGAACCCTGTGAGGATAAACCCGACTAGCCGTCCTGTTTCCCCAACATTATAGACAACAAGCAATATCACACCAATCAGGACAGGAATGCTGGTCGTAACGGAAGGAATCCAGAAATTTCGCAGACGATCTGCGGTAACGCCCGCTACTAGCGCGGCTACCACAGACAGTGCCGTTGCGATCGTCGGTAAGGTGTTCACCCGTGAGACAGAGTAGATTTCTGGTTTAGCCTTTAGATATAGACTAAAGGGCGTCGAGTATGGTGTGAAGTTCTGGTCCATTAAAGTCCAATGCACGACAAAGACATACCAATGCCATCGCCCGAAGACCCGCTTGAAGATGGCCCGGGAGACTTTTAGTTCGCTTGGTGCTGTTAGACCTTTTAGGCGAATGTTGGCAATATCATGCTCGGCCGCTGTTAGGAACCGTGGCTCTGAGCGATGAGGAACATCTGGGAAAATGATATATCCGCTGGTCTTTATTAGATAAATGAACAATTGAATAGCCCCGGGGTAGGATATGACTTACAGAATGCAAATAGGAATTGTGATAATGGTGCAAATAATGAATAACCATCTGCCAACGGGTCAGTGCCAAGAAATCTTTAATATATAATTAGAATCAAATACCTCCAACCAGGCAATCCATGTCTCCCCTCTAAATTTGTATAAGCTGCAGCCTGCAAATAACCCGCAAACATAGTCCCAAGTGGAGAAGCGACAAAGAAAAGCGCAACCCGACGCGTCACCTCGCCGGGTTTATACCACGACCCGATGACATAGATGACGCCAGTGAAGGAGCAGGACTCGCAGATCCCGATGAAGAAGCGCATTGCGTATATGGTATTCAGATTCTGCGCCCAAGCACAGCCGAATGTGAAGAGTCCCCATCCGATTTCCAGGGTTGGCAGCGCAATGTTGATCCGCGTGCGCGTTAACCAGTAACAGGCTGGTATCATGGAAGTGCAATACGAAGCCCAGAATACCGCTGTTATGTAGTTCAATTCATTACCATGCAGATTAAGGTCTTCTTTCATGCCTCTATGATAGGTTAGGAACCGGAGTTGGTTTGCTAGACTGAGGGTGTTGCCGACATACGATACATAGGCATTGGTGATCGCCTGCTGGTCAAGGTATTTGGTGAAGAATGAAAGGCAGCCAAAGATTAAGATCATGATATCCAGTTTGAGGACCAGCTTTTTCTCTAGGTGTGACATGTCCTTGGGATACCATTTGGCATAGGTAAGGAATCGGAGCCATAACCCATCTGGCGACTCAGGATTGGATTGTACTTCATGATCGGATACTTCGTGAATCGACTTGGTATCAATTACGTGTGACTGCTCCATATTCGAGTATTCGAGTCGCTTGAAGCTCGTACAGGATGGACAGCTGGAAACGATAATCTAGAGTTAATCTAGTGCCTATATGATAGTGACCATCCATTGCTTGCGGGGATTCTCTTATATTTCTTGCAGGCTAGTTGCAAGCCTCGATAATGGAAGATGCGGCGATTATCACGCCTGATGGTGTCATCTGTGCAATATCTGCACCTGCCGCTGCATATTGCGGGGAAATCACGAATCTCGGGAACTGGCCGAGTTTGACATGCGCGCGTTCTCATTACGGGTAGCTGAGCTCGGGATATTGGAACCAGCTAATCTTGAATGATCGGATTCATAATCTAAAAGGAGATTTGGAAGAGTGTGAGAATTCGTCCTCATTTTCAGGGATTGAATGCTTGGCAAATAATGGACAAGGCCCGGAGTAACCCGAGCTTGAGTATCGAAGACAATCAAGATGAAATTTCAGAACTGACATGATGTGTAACGCTTGATGTGTGTTGACGTGAATATGTGAATAGAAAATGCCGGAAAATACGTGCTCATAATCATACAATATACTATACTCCTTCATCCTCAGCTCTTGATATCGATCTTGTACTGCTCGGCCCAGAATGTGACATTGCTGTTCACGGAGTAGGCTTCTGTTCCGAAACTGAGACTGCCAAGGTAGTCGTCCTTGGCCGGGTAATCGCTTCCTTCCAAGTTGTACAGATCGGTAATGAGAGGATAAATGTCTCCAGTGAACTTCTCGACGATCGTTTTCGGGACCCAGGACAAAACATACTGTCCGTTATCATTCTTACCCTCGTAAAGTGTGCTGATGAAAATAAATGTTAGCGTATGCAGGGATATGTAAGTTACAAACAAGTTCAACTCTCCACTCACAATGTCGTTCCTGCCACAGTCCTGCTGATTCCTGGTTTTCCCCATCCATGAGGCTGGGCCTCCTCGTTTGACATCCAGAACCAAACCATGACCTCGAATTTCGCGTTAGATCCATTCTTGGCTTTGTCGGCATCGGTGTCCAAGAACATATCAATGGCGACGTTTGTGGCAAGGTTTTCTTTTGTCAACGCTT